AAGGCTTGCAGGTGGATGAGGTGGCCCAGGGAGAGATGATGGAGTTCTGGGGAGCGCCCATGTTTAAGAGATGACTAAAAGGGAGGAGGCAGCCAGGACCCCTGATCACTCCTGGCCCCAGGAACCCAAATACTCTGGTGCCTTAACTGACTTGTACCATGGGGCCAGTCCCTTCTCTCCAATGAAGGTTCCAATGATCAGGGCAAGCAAGAGAAGCCCCAACTCTCCTAGGCAACCAGGAGGAAAACTCCAGAGACCTCTACCACACAGGACTTCCCTTTAGCACCGAGTCTTCCAACTTCAACTCCCAGCTCTGGCTCCAGAATTGTCAGACTCCTGCCCTGTTCCTCAGCTCCCTGGCCTCTAAATGATGGAGCACCCAGGGCCCGGTCCTTGGACCTCTTCTCTTTCACCCTCCTTCCCAGTGTGACCTTACCAGGCTGTAAATACTATTATATGCCAACAGCTCCCCAAATTAGATCTCCTGTCCAATCCTGTTTCCAGACTTTAGGCTCCCATGTACAACCACCCACTGGACAGATTTTCATCCCTCAAGACTGTTCCTCCCACACTCTTTCCTATCTCAGTAAATGGCAAATTCAATCTTCCCGCTGCTCAGGCCAAAATCTTTGAAGTTGTGCCTGACTCCATTCTCTCTCATACCCCACCCACATCCCAGCTGTTAGCAAACCCTATAGGTGTTACCTGCAAAATTATCTAGAAACCAACCCCTTCTCATCACCCGACCACCATCAGCCAGGTTTGAGCCACTGTCACGTCTCTTGGATTACAGAAGTGGTCTTCTGATCATCTTCCAGACTTTTTGTTCTGAGTCACCCCTATAGTCTCAAGACATCAGCTGGAGTATTCCTTTCAAAAAATAAGCCAAATCATAACCTTCACTCCTCTGCCCTAAGCCTTCCAATGGCTTCCAGGCACCTGCTTCTCTCTCCTATTCATTCCCATATAGCTGGATGGCTTTGCTGGTCCTTCAAGGTACATCGCATGTTTCCACGATGGAGCTTTGCAATGGCTGTTTCTTCTGCCTGGGATTGTTCTTCCTTCAGATATCTGCACGACTTGTTTTCCCCCCCGTGTTTACATGGTTTATGTCAACAAACAGAAAACTGTATTAAAAAAAAATAGGGAGGTGATAATAATGATACTGGTTATAAACTCTACTAAAAAGTTTTAAGGGGCGCCTGGGTGGCTCAGTGGGTGAAAAGCCTCTGCCTTCAGCTCAGGTCATGATCCCAGGGTCCTGGGATCAGGCTCTCTGCTCAGCAGGGAGCCTGCTTCCTCGTCTCTCTCTCTCTCTGCCTGCCTCTCTGCCTACTTGTGATCTCTGTCTGTCAAATAAATAAATAAAATCTAAAAAAAAAAAAAAGTTTTAAGAGGTTTTTTGAGGCCAAGAGGAAGCACTTACCCCACCCCTCCCCAGGCTTCTGGTTTGGGGATACATACTGCCCCCTCGTGGCCATTCTAGGAAAAGTACCATCTTCAGGAGGTTGCCGGCATTCTCTACGTTAGGACATAGTGTATAAACCTCCATCCCACCTGTCCTGATCTGCCAGACATTGCAGTATCAGCGACTCCAAGGTAAACTGTGTGAGCTGTCCCTGTCCTGTGTATGTAGTGGAGAACACAGGTTTTGGAGTCTGGCCTTACAGGAATTTCAGATTCCCAATTATTCATCAGCTGATCTTGGGCAAGTGACCTAACTTCAAACTTTAGTTTCCCCATTGGTAAAAAGGAGATAGTAATATATAGTTCAGGGGCACCTGGGTTATGCCGTTGGTTGAGAATCTAACTTTTGGTTTCAGCTTAGGTCATGATCTCAGGGTCGTGGGATTGAGCTCTGTGTTGAGCTCAGTGCGGAGTCTGCTTGAGATTCTCTCTCTCTCCCACCACTTGCATGCATGTTTTCTCTCTAAAATAAACAAATTGCTCTCCAGATATATATATGGATGCCTGGCTCAGCTGCTTAAGCATCTGCCTTTGGCTCAGGTCATGATCCCAAGATCCTGGGATTGAGTCCTGCATTGGGCTCCTTGCTCGGTGAGGAGCCTGCTTCTCCTTCTGCCTGCCAATCCTCCTGCTTGTGCTCTTTCTGACAAAATCTTTTAAAAAATTAAAAAATATATATATACTTTAAGGGTCTTTGAGGAATAGATGATCACAGTGCTTGGTGCATATTAAGTGCTCAAAAGCTATTACCCACTATCAGAAGAGATTCTTGGGCAATTTTGGGTGCTGCGTACTTTGGACTCTCTCACCCTTGCATCAAGCCTGGGGTGACTGGAAGCCCCAGCTCTTGCCAGAGCAGCTTCACAACTGCTCTGTTCCTTCCCCCCAAGCAAGCTATCTTCTGAGATGGCCCTGGGATGGACTGGAGGCTTGATTGTGCTAAGATGCCACAGGACACCGGAGACTCTCCCAGCCTCTCATATCCTACCATTGCCCTTCCAGTGGGTTGGGACGACACACAGGCAGGAACTATTACTGACGTCACAGATGGGGAAACCAATGCCCAGACACTGGAAGCAAACTGCCCACGGTTCTGAGTGAGTTGAGGCAGCCAATCAGGCATCCTAGCAGTTTGGCTGGCTTATATTCAGTCAGGTCTCCCAAAAGGGTATGCCTAAGAAGAGTACCCACATAAAGCCTGAGGCTGAGGGTAGCCTGGGCCACTGGGAAGGACTCCCAAGGGAATTCTGTTTGGGGAACACAGTTTCCCTTTCCTTGAGGACTCAAGACACTTCCTGACCTAGAGGCAGTTCTAGGCTGTGAGACCTGAAGCCTGGATTCCAGTCTTGGCCTGGCTCACAGAGGGAAACCATGGAGCCTTGTCCCTTCTGGGCTAGGCCTTTGTAGCCAGAGGGGTTGGGCTAGCTTAGAGCTCTCTCTGGGGACTTGTGGGCTCTAAAAAGCCATGAGAGATTGTCTGGGATACCCGTGCTAACATCATGTAGGGAGCTTGGAAAGAAAAAAATTTGCCATGGATATGGCAGGGCATATGGGAGGATTAATAAAGAAGAAAGATCTGTGAAGGTGACCAGGCATTCACACCCCAATTTCAGAAAGAAGGCAACACTAGCAGGTTCCCCATTAAGAGAACAAGGTCTCCAGGCTTTCAGGCATGAAGCAATAAGGCTAATACCATGCTGGAAGGATCCCCTCCCCCAAACCTTAATCACAGGACCCACTGTTTTGAGACTTTGAACCTCTCCCACAGGACTGATATTCTTTCTTCCCCTCCCATGGTCTGTTCTCTGGCCTGTCCAGGACAGGATCCAGAGCTGCTTCACACAGACCCTGAGATCAGGAGGGCTGCTTTCATCTCCAAGCCTGAAGACAACCTCCCACTGCACCTCAGACTGGCACCACCGCTAAAAGGAGACAGCCCTGCTGGACAAGCCAGAGGGAATTCCAGAGATAAGAACTTGGGTCTCTGAAAAGCTCTGGCCCCATAAGTAATCTCCTGCTGAAGGAGGGTAGGGCTGAAAGGGGAAGGGATGCTATCACCTGATTCTCAGGGAGCAATAATGTGGGGTCGTGGTGCCCACGGGATTCCTCCACAAATGGCTTTTAGTCCACTCACGTAAAGTCTTGCCAAGGCCACTACTCAGTGGAGAATGTCAAACCCTTGAGAAGCAGCTTCCCCTTGCTGAGGAAGTCTGGGGCCCCTTTAGTGACCCTAGGGGTGTTAGCTCCCTGCTGTCCCCAAGCATCCAATCTCCTGAATCTCTTCTCTTTGCAGCGCTAACCCCCCACCAACCTCATCTTTCACTTGGATCACTCCTATAGCTCTCGGCTGGGTCTCTTGCCTCCAAGTTAATCCTCCAATTCCTTCTTTACACTCTGCCGAGAAACTGCTCTAGAAGTGGGTGGGCAAACTAAGATCCTTGGCCAAATCCAGCTTGCTGCCTGTTTTTATACAACCCATGAGCTAAGAATGGTTTTTACATTTTTTAATAGCTGGAAAAAGTATTATTTTGTGACACATAAAAATTGTATGAGGTTCTAATTTCAGTATCTGTAAAAATAAGGTGTTGCTGGGACAGTCATGCTCATTTGCTTATGTATTGTCTATGGCCACTTTCACAGCATGATGGCAGAGTTGGATAGCTGCAACAGAAACTCTAAGACTTACAAAGCCTAAAATATTTGCCGTCTGGACCTGTACAGGAAACATTTGCTGATTCCTACTCTGGATCAAAAATCCAGTCATGCCATTCTCTGCTTAGGACCCTCCAGTGGCTCCTTGTGGTTTTCCACAGCTGACCCCTTCCTTCCTATCTGTCCAACCTCATCACATGTCCTTCCAGTTGTCTGTCCACTATGGACAACTAACCCTTCCTCAACTCCACCACAAACCAGATCCCTGGGCTTGTCTAATGCTATTTACCCTTTCTTCGCCTGCTTCTCTTCTCCTAATAGCAGTCTACCATCATTAAGACTCAGCCCAAATGTTTCCTCCCGTTTCCCTTCTCCCAACCATGAGAGCGATCCCATATCCTACCATGCCACAGGAAATTCCTCTCATCGCTCTACTCAGCTTTTAATAACAGACTATGGACTTATTTGTGCCAGACCAACTAATTCTATTATAATTCTTTGTTCAGTTATGTGTCCTCTGCTGGCTCACTATGAAAGAACAGGCCACAGCCCTAGCATAGGGCTGTATGGGGTAGGCACATACACATTCACTGGAAGGGGCCCGTTTAGCATTCTGTACCTTAACTTGGCTAATAGTATGAAGGAAGAAGATGCTTATGTATTTTCCAGATATTAAGTATCTTTTTTCTTTTTAAAGAGAGGGAGAGGGAGGGAGACAGGAAGAGGTGGGTGGAGGAGGGGCAGAAGGAGAGGAAGAGACAGAATCTTAAGGCAACCTCCATGCCCAGTATAGAGCTCATTCTCACAACCCTGAGATCATGACCTGAACTGAAATCAAAGAGTCAGAAGCTTAATAGACTGAGCTAACCAGATGCCCCTCATTTTTTTTTTAAATAAATTCTACACCCAACATGGGGCTTGAACTCATGACCCCAAGATTAAGAGTCAGATGCTCTGCCAGCTGAGCCAGTTAGGTGCCCCCAAAGTATCATTTATATAAACTTTCAGCATTCATGACAGATCAGGAATCTACATGTATCACAACTCATTTAATCCTTACGAGGCAGGTGATACCTCCATTCCACCAAGTGGCAAGCTATGTATGTGGCAGAGCTGGCAACTAGAATCAGTCTCCTGCCTCCTGAATTCTGAGATGTTCTCCAAGAGCAGTTCATCCACTGAACCACTGCTTCAAAGATGTAACAGATGCTCATGGGCTTCCTGCTGTCTTCAGGGCCACTGACCCTGTGCTAAATGAGTCCAGAGAGAAGTGGTTTTTAGTTTTCCATCTCTTCCCTCCAGTTGCTTCTTCTTGCTCCCGTACCTGCTGCCTCTCAAGGTAGACTATCTGGGTCAGGATCAAAGAGTGACCCTGCTCTTCCTATGAAAACCAAGTGCCAGTTTCGTAATGTCACTTCTGAAATCTGTTGCTCTGGGGCTCAGGCTTGCTCTGGACAAAGAAGTTGTTGGAAGTCTGGCCTCCAAGCCGAAGGGGTGCCAAGGCAGAGATGACCAAACTAATGTAACTGTCAATGCACCTGCCTTAACAAAGACTCAAGAATATCTCCAGAGGACTGCTGGGAAAAGTCCTGGACTGTCCACACACTTCTGTGATTATTTAAACCGAAGTTCAGAGCTCGGAGACAAGGAGAGCCAGTACAGCTGCTCCTGGCCTGGGAGAAAGCAACACAGGAAAGGTCAATCCACCTGAAACCCTTTCTCAACCAAAAAGGAGTTAGGGCTAACTGGTCAGTACACAGAGGCCACAGTGTGAACCAGGCAGAAGGAGCGTGCTCTCTGTCCTCTACCATCATGGCATATCTAGCTAAACTGTCACAGGATAGGCCCAGTGATGTAGTATGAGCCACGCTCCTGAGCTCCAGAAAATAGGAATTCTATAAAGCACCCTGACTCCTTTCCTAGGTCTAGAATTGATGGCATTAAGAACCCCTAAGATAAATTCAGCCAGACAGACCTATGAGAGTTTTTGGTTAAAGACTCAGATATGATAGCGGGGTTTAACACAACACGTGTGATTCTGGATGCATCTGGTATTTTGGACCAAGAAGTTCACTTGTGCTCTTCCGAAGATTGTGATCAGTTTGGATTAATCCAAAAAGTGAGGCGCAGCTGATGTTGCATTTTTAAGAAGAGTATGGAGAATTGGGACAACTGAGTCTATGACTAAATACCACTTTTAGGCTAAAATTCTGGTTTGTTCAAATCAAACCCAATGTTCCCCCCAGCCCTCTGAGCAATCACGGTGATGGTGGAGGCTCTGCAAATACAAAACTGAATCACCAGTGACCATCTAGTCAGAGATCTGGCCGTACTGAAACACTTTATACACACAGAATAGAGGACAAGGAGATTTCTGACACACTCATGCTTTGGACGTATCAGTACAAGACAGTATATGAGACTGTGTGTGAGTCCACCAGGCAGTTAACTGGGAACAAGCATGATTTATCTGCTGGCAAACGAGTCTCCATCACACCTAATCATTCTTTTATCTAAGTGCATCTTGATCTTCTCAGTCCTGGACATCAAAGTAGTCAATTACTGGTTCCTTGGCTATTTTCTGTAAATTACTGCTTGCAGGATTTCTGAAAAGCAAACAAAGAATAATCAATCTTTTCTTGTTTGGGGGAAATAGACTGAAGCCTACAGAAAGTTAAGGAACAGCTGATTTACCATTTGCAAAGCTTTGATAAGACAGTGGGGCCCACCTGAGCAGGGAACTGTTTAAAATTTGGAGATGGGCACACAGGGGTTCACTCTATTAACACTATTTCTCTACTCTGAGAAGTTTTCCACAATAAAGTTTTATACTAAAATAAAGCAAACAAAGGGGGGGAAAAAGCATGGCATGAACAGGCCAAAGATCCCACATGGTTATGATGAGGTGGTACTGGACACAGCTGTGGAACATCATGTGGAATACCCTCATGTTTCCCAAACCACTGCCCATGTGGATATGGAGCTAAGCTGACTAGAATCCATGCCGTCTGCTCTCCAGGGGTGAAGCAGGGCTGGTTCTGGGGAACTACGTTAATCCAGACAATCCCTGCCAAGGTTATACCCAGTGGGCAACACCTAGCTGTCCTGTCCAGTCCTCGTGAACACAGACTGCCAAGGCCACCATGGTGACCCTGTAAAACTGCCCTTTCCTCCCTCCCAGAGGTTTTGTATAAGAGGTTCTGGTAGGACTGCGTGCGGAAGGCCAGAACAGCATTAGGGGACCCTGGTTTCAGAGCAACTTTGGGCAATGCTGCCTCAGTCACAATAAGGGAAAAAGGGATGGTGCTCCATCCTTGCTCCTGAAACCTGCTGCTTGCCAATGTGGTTTTCTTTTCTCTTTAAATTATGAATACATGTTTTTGTTGTAAAAATTATTCAAACCATATAGACGACAGATCAAAACACAAAAGTATCCACTTTCACTGCAACCCTGACCCACTATCTGACTTTCACCTCCAGAATAACTTTGTGAAACATGTCATGTTCCTAAATCCTCTGGTGTGACAGACTGAATCCACTTCCCAGTGTCACCACCTACACCACAGAAGTTATGTCCAGTGATTTTTCCCCAGAGGGGAAGTGGGCACTATGAACATCGAACTTGGGAGCTCTCTGGCATGAACAAATGTCTGACATTCCAGTCAAACCGGACTTATTTGAACCAAGCACCCCAAGGTCAGGCCTGAGAGGCAGCCAATGGCTAGTGGAGTCCCAGACAGTTCAGCCCCTGCTGTCTCCTCTGAATACAGGGCCTTTGGAAAGCAGCTGAAGGATTCTTACTTGTCGGTCTGATGTCTGTGGTGAGGAATTGGTGGTGGAGGCCGTGACTGCATTTCCCTTTCAAGGACACCTGTCAGCGTGGTAGGAGGACAAATGGACTTCCCTCTGATAAAAGTCAGAACACAAAGTATTGAAAAGTGAGAATTGTTTGTGGAGATAGGCAGACCGCTGGAAATCCAGTCATGACTTTCAAATGTGCTGCTGCTGAGTGCTCTGATGTGACCCATCTCCTCTCAGGCATGGTCACCTTCATTTAACCCTCATCCTTCCACCCGCCTCTTCCTGGGCCTGTTATCTGCTCCCTCTGGTCCCGCGCTTAAGTTTTCTTCATTGGTAAGGACCTACTCTGTCAAGTTCTGACAGTGATCCTAGATCCTCTTTATCACTTCCCAGCTCACACTACAGCCTTAGTTTCCTCTAATGGCAAACACTGTTTATGGGGGATGCCCTGAATCAGAGTCCAGCATTTTTTGTTTTCATCATGCCAGAAGGACAAGGGAAAAAGGGATAGATAGATGTGATGGCCAGGCATTCAACCCAGGCCCTTAGAGTCTGTTCCCTGTGCCTGGCGAAATGCTACCTCCAGTGTTGCTCATAAATTGGGCAGACAAGAGGCTTGAATGTCTTTAGGCATGTCTGTCCTGTGGACTGAAACATGAGCTTTGCTCTCTGTTTCAGACCTTTATCTTTTTTTTAATTTTTTTTTTTTTTAGAGATTTTATTTATTTGACAGAGAACATGCACAAGCAGGCAGAGTAGTAGGCAGAGGGAGAGGGAGAAGCAGGCTCCCTGCTGAGCAAGGAGCCCAACTCCGGGCTCAATCCTAGGACCCTGGGATAATGACCTGAGCCGAAGGCAGCTGCTTAACTGACTGAGCCACCCAGGTGCTCCCTGGCTCAGACCTTTAGATCAGACCTTTTGATCATGTCAGAAAGGCTAGCCCAGAAGCAGATTTTCTACCTATTCTTCTAGGAGAGGAAGTAAGGCAAGCAAATGTTGATAGACCTTGCTTCCGAGGTCCAGTTTGCTGCAATGAGCAGTTCCTCCTGTGATAGAAAGATCAACCCACCTGACTGCAGTGACCACAACATTGCGCTTTGGTTCACTGTCATAGCTCACGCTCTCCAGGCCATACACTTGGGCCAGGTCATGGATGATCCGGCGATGGTCTCTGTTCATGGGAGGGAAGCAGTGGCTCTTCTTACTATTCTTTCCCTGTATTGAGGGAAAAGATGATGGATTGATAAAATCATCCTGAAAACAGAATATACTTACAAAGGTCCTTCCCACCACACCAAAACAGCTGGGCTGACAAAGAGGTGGCTGAGTTTTAGAGCATAGAGTATTCTGCTGGCTGCTAAGCAAGCCAAGGAGTTTGGAAGGATGAGGTCTGATGCACTTCCTTTATCTATTCTGTGAGTCACAACACTAGCAGCTGGCCAGGATTAGGGATCAGGGGAAGTGAAAAGAACCTAAGAGGACAGTATAATGGTTCCTCCTAATGCGCTGGTAACTGGGGAGTAAGTGATATACCGAAGAAATGACTAAATAAATTGAAGACATAAAACCAGACAGTCTCATTTCTTATAAAAATACGTTCTACGCTAAAAATTTTTAATGTGCAGATACACTGGAAAGCAGGGAAATACATTAGTGTATGTTTGCTAGTTAGGAGAGGAACAATGATTCCATTTTCTCCTTCACGTCAGTATCCCAGGAAATGGGAACAGAAGGAAGGGAGAGAGGAAGGGCAGGGGCTAAGGGAGATGGCGGGAAGGAACTCCACCTTCATTAGATATGGAGCTAATACAGGCATCTCATCCTCACTCATAGTCGCCATAGAATAAAGAGAGCGCCACCCTGGGGTTGGCTGCTTCTGACTAAATTCGAGACTTTCCTCCTTAGAGCTACCTCCAGGACAAGGGCTTCACTATCTTGAGGGAGTCTATCTCACTACTCTTCAGCTCTAGTCATTCAACTTTTGATCTTTACCCAAGGGCTTTTAGCCTGCCTTGGAGGTAATAAAGAACAAGTGTGCCCTCTCATACAATAGCCCCTCAGAGATCAAGTCTTCCTAAGTACCCCACAGTCATTCAGCTATCACTACTAAATGCCTCCTGTTGTCCAGAGCTTCTTCACCCAATCTTAGCCACTGAACTAAAATTTTTTTATTTATGCTGAATTTGATCGAGAATATCTTTGCTGAACCAGGACAAGGCTTCCATGGATGTTATAATGGCTGGGCTTTTGGGGAAGATAGGGATCGTCAAGAAGTTGTGACTTTTTCCTGTAACTACTCTACACTGATGGTGTTTCTGGGACTTGATTTTTTATCAAGCTGGCCTTAGAGACATGTCCAGTTGGATGTTTTGACTTCAACCTTATTCACGGCCTCCACAAGGGCTTCCATTTCTTTTTCAATGTCACTGACAAACTTTAAATCCTTCCTGAAATGAGAAATCATCACAGTTAATTTCATTTGTTTCTGCTCTTTGAGAATCCCTTCCACCCACGTTCTCTGCCCATAATCTGCAATGTGGGCAGAAAAATGGCAAAGGGCAAGAACTGTCAGATAACAGAAGGCTGACTGTGACTAACAAAGGAAGAGAAAAAGAGAAAACAAGTATGGGAGAGGAGAAGACAGAAGGAGAAAGAGCTGTCTGAAAGGCCAGGAGACAGGAGGAAAATAAGAGCAGTTACTGCCCAAGTGAGGGCCTATGTTGGCAGCCCATCACTCAGTTCAGGCTACTCCAACTGGGCCCTAGGCAGGCCCAAACTTCTACTACATGGTCCACACACCCACAGCCCCCACAACCCATGCACAATTCTTCAAGGGGACAATTGTGAGAAACCAAGAAAGGATTTTTATTAAACATCATAATCTCTTTTATATATAAACTTCAACTGGCTCAATCACAGAGGAGTACTTATTAGTTACTACAACTTAAAAGAGCAAACACTCTTGCAAACCACACTTAAGAAAGCTGGTAACAGGGGAGCTTAGGTGGCTCAGCTGTTAAGCGTTTGGCTTTGCCTCAGGTCATGATCCCAGAGTCTTAGGATCGAGCCCCACATCGGGCTCCCTCATCAGCAGGAAGCCTGTTTCTCCCTCTCCACTCCCCTCAATGTCTCTCTCCATCAAATACATAAATAAAATCTTAAAAAAGCAAGCAAGCAAGCAAGCTGGTACAAGTTACATACCTGGCATCCTCTTTCAAACTGTCACTGAATTTTGACCCTGAAGAACGTACATTGAAAGGATCAGAATCCTCACTAATATGAAACGCCTCTGCTAACCGCCTGAAAATAAGAGAGAAGTAAGTAAATAAAAGGAAAAGGGCAAGAAAACTTTTTAAAGTAACACAGAGAGCCCGCCATGTCTTAAATTCTTAATGTACTAATGACGCCATTTCAGCAAACCTAATTACTAAGGAAGGAATAGCAACAACTTGGGAGAAGATATGATTTTGTCTTCCTAGAATAAAATAAACAAGACAAATCTATGTGGGTCTGAGTGAACCAAATGGGCTGATACTGGCAACTTGGGTTATCTGGTGAAGAGAAGGGGGGCAGGAAATGAGAGCACTGGGAGTGTAGTGGGGCGTGGCAGTCTCAGAGGTTTCACCTAAACATCACATACATACATACATAAGGTAGACATGTACACATTAAAACTAGAATCATCTTACAGAAAATATGGAAAATAAAGAGAAGAATTCCATTAACAACCTACGCACAAAATTTTAGTATACTTCCTTTCATATTTTTTTCCCTTTAAGTCATTGCAATTAGTGTTTATAAAACTTGGCATCTGGGGCACTTGGTTGGCCCAGTCAGTGAAGCATGTGACTTGTGATATCTGGGTTATAAATTCAAGTCCCACAGTGGGTGTAGAGATTACTTAAAATAAAATCTCAGGGCACCTGGATGGCTCAGTCAGATGGGCATCTGCCTTCAGCTCAGGTTGTGGTCCTGGGATCGAGTCCCATGTCAGGCTCCCGGCTTGGTGGGGAGCCTGCTTCTCCCTCTGCCTCTGCCCTTGCTTGTGCTCTCTATCACTCTCAAATAAATAAATAAATCTTAAAAAAGAAATAAAATCTTAAAGGAACACAACTAAAAAATCCCAATTTGGCACCTTTTTTTCACCTATCATTATATGATTGGCATTTCTCATATTACATTTGTTTTTCACATTTACTGTTTTAATAGGTGCATAATCTTCTAATTATGTATTTACCAGAATTTACCTAAACATTCCCTAGTTTATTTATATTTATAGTTCCCTAGTTTCTGAATATTTTAAGTGACATGATATCACTGGGCAAAAAACTTTTAGGGTTATTTCTCTGGAAAATATTTCCAGGTGTGGGATTACTAGATAAAATGGTCAGACTCATGAGCAACACAGTCTGAGAGCTTTCCGCAGCTGCCCATTTGTGTTTTGACTGCCAGTGAACGAATCTCACGGCATCTCAGCAATACCCAGTTATGTCTTTCTTTTGTAAAGAGAGATAAAATTCAGGTTAGCACTTAGTACAATTTTTGTTTACACTGAAATAGGGGTCTCTTGCAAGTTTAATGCCCATACATATGAAATCTGATTTAAGCGTAATTCTAAAATTTTCAAGAGAAATTTTCGAGAGTTTTGATGTTTTGATTAGTCAGCCAAGAATTAAAATTTAAACACCAATAAAACCTATCTGTGGGCTGAATTTGGCCTGCCAGTTTTTCATTTCTGCAACAGAATATATGTTTGCAACTTGAGATGGTATTTTTTTAAGACTTAATTTTTTAATTTTTATTTTTTTGAAGATTTTATTTATTGATTTGACAGAGAGAGAGAGCACAAGTAGGGAGCACCAGGCAGAAGGGAGAGGGAGAAGCAAGCAGCCGATGCGGGGCTCAATCCCAGGACCCTGAGATCATGAACTGAGGTGAAGGCAGACGCTTCACTGACTGAGCCACCCAGGTGCCCCTAAGATTTTTAATTTTTTTTTTTAAAGATTTCATTTATTTATTTGACAGAGAGATCACAAGTAAGCAGAGCAGCAGGCAGAGAGAGAAGGGGAAGCAGGCACCCTGTTGAGCAGAGAGCCCGATGCGGGGCTTGATCCCAGGACCCTGAGACCATGACCTCAGCCAAAGGCAGAGCTTTAACCCACTGAATCACCCAGGCACCCCAAGATTTTTAATTTTTTTTAAGATTTTTTTTTTTAGATTTTTAAAAAAATATTTTATTTATTTATTTGATCAATCACAAGTAGGCAGAGAGGCAAGCAGACAGAGAGGGAGGAAGCAGGCTCCCTGCCGAGAAGACAGCCCGATGCAGGGCTCGATCCCAGGACCCTGAGAACATGTCCTGAGCCGAAGGCAGAGGCTTTAACCCACTGAGCCACCCAGGCGCCCCAGATTTTATTTATTTATTTGACAGAGACAGACAAAGAGAGAGAAGGAACAGAAGCAGAGGGAGCGGAAGAGGGAGAAGCAGGCTTCCTCCTGAGCAGGGAGCCCGGTGTGGGCCTTGATCCCAGGACCCTGGGATCATGACCTGAGCCGAAGGCAGCTGCTTAACAACTGAGCCACCCAGGTGCCCAAGATTTTTAATTTTTAAAAAATAATCTCTACACCCAACATGGGGCTCAAATTCGTAACACTGAGATCAAGAGTCGCATGCTCTACTGATGGAGCCAGTCAGGCACCCCATATATTTTTTTAAATTGGCATTTCTTTTTCTCCTAGGTCAGTGGGTATTAAGAAAGAATCTCTATATAGTGAGGACCATCATAGGTCATCACTCTAAAATGGAGGAGAAATTCAAAAACAGAGAGCCAGTTATTTTTCTTAAAAAGATTTTATTTATTTATTTGAGAGAGAGAGAGAGGCAGAGAGAAAGCACAAATTGGGGAGAGGGAGAGGCAGGCTCTCTGGATCCCAATGTGGGGCTTGATCCCAGGACCCTGGGATCATGACCTAAGCCTAAGGCAGATGCTTAACTGATTGAGCCACCCAGGCACCCTGAGAGAGACAGCTCTAATCAATAACTAAATTTACTGAGGATAACTAATAACTAATTTAATCCTCACAACAACTGTGGAAGGTACATATTGTCACTGTTTCCACAGATTTTTAAGAAAATTAAAGCTTCAAAAGAGAACATGACTTGCCGAAGGTTACATAGCTAAGTGATTTGTGAAGGCAGGATTCAAATTCAGGCAATCCGACTGTGGTCTACTATATAAACTGTCTCTCAACTACACAAAGGTGCATTTCTACGCTTTAGAGGCCTTCTGTGTATTCACTACAGCATTTCTGAATACTCATGACTCAGTTCCTATTTTGTAACTGAGAACACTTCGACTGATGGTTCCTAAAGGTCAAGAGTTTGAACAGCAGTTATTACAGAGTTCACCATAAGGGTCAAACCAAGGGAAATTTGGGCAGCACTATTATTTATTATATACTTCCTATGCATTTAGCCACTTAAAGAGATACTGTTAACAATAGTGGAAAGTCAAATTTCAAGATAAAACAGGACTGTACTTTGTCTGCACTTGTCTGTTTTTGTTTAACTAATATGAGAAATTTTCAAAGTGACAAAGTATTATTTTATAATAATAAAACCATCATAAATTCAAAACATTTTAAGTGAAAAGTGCATTTAATACATCTAACCTACCAAACATCATGGCTTGGCCTAGTCTACCTTAAAAGTCCTCAGAACATTTACCTTAGGTTACAGTTGGGCAAAATCATCTTACACAAAGCTCATTTATTTTTTAAGATTTTATTTATTTATTTGAGAGAGAGTGTGTGTGTGCTCATGCAAATGCGAGAGTGGGGACAGGGGGAGAGGGAGACAGTCTTAAGCCGACTCCCCACTCAGTGCAGAGCCTGACATGGGGCTCAACCTCACGACCCTGAGATCATGACTTGAGCTGAAACCAAGAGTCGGACGCTCAACTGACTGAGCCACATGAACACCCAGGCACCCCACAAAGCCTATTTTATAATTAAGTGCTGAACATCTCATGTAATTTACTGAACACTGTACGGAAAGTGAAAAACATGATAGCTATATGGGTACAGAATGGCTGTAAGTGTATGGGTTGTTTACCCTTGTGATTGCATGGGTGACTGGGAGCTGTAGTTTGCTGTCACTGCCCAGTATCATTAAGAGAGCACTATACTGCATATTGCTAGCCTGAGAAAAGATCAAAATTCAAAATTTGAGGCATGGTTTCTACTAAACGTATATTGCTTTTGCACCACTGTGAATCTGAAAAATCGTTAAGTCACTATAAGTTGGGGACTGTCTGTATACCAGTTCACCTAAATTCTCCAACTGTTAACATTTAGAGGGCTATACCTTTTAATCAATCTCTGTTAGAACCAGGAAGTCTGCTGGTCACTGAATAAATGCCCCTTAATCTAATAAAGAACATCCTCAAATGAGTAACAGAAAACATCATATTTAGTGGTGAAATATTCAAAGCTGTCTGATATCAGTAATGTCTATTACCACTACCTCCTACTCAACACTGTACTGGAGGCTCTAACCAGTGCAAAAAGGCAAGAAAAAGAAAAAGGTTAAGAACTGTAAAGAAATAAAACTACTATTATTGGAAGAGGGCATGAAATAGTAAGTGAATTTAGCAAGGTTGTGAATACAGGTCTATAAACACCAATTCTATTTCTATACAGCAGCGATAGGCAATTAGAAAATTAGGTTTTTTAAAGAAAATTAAATTTTAAAAGTGATACAGGAAGGGAGAGGAAAGGAGGTAGCTGAGCAAAAAGAAAAAAGAAGTGATATAAGAAAAATTACCATTTAAAAAAGTGTCAAAGAGTATCAAATAGCAAGGAACAAATCTACTGCAAGTTGTACAAAATCTGTATACAGAAAACTATAGAGTATTATTGAGAGAAATCAAAGAAGACAGGAATAATTGGAAGGATATACTTTGCTTATGGATTAAGAGACTTAACACTATAAAAATGCCAAATCTTCCCCAACTGATCTATAAATGAAATACCAATTCAATAAAAATCTTAGTAGTTTTTTTTGGCAGATATTGATAAGCTAACTCTAAAGTTTAAAAAGAAATGCAAATGTTCATGAATAGCCAAGTTAATCTAGAAGAAGAACCATGCTTGAAGAGACATACTATCAGATATTAAGACCTTTATTGTTATAAAGGTACAACTACTAGGAGAGTGTGATACTAGTGTGATGGAGGATAAGGAGTTCAGCAATAGTATGAATACGTGATTTAAGACAAATGGCACTGGGGCGCCTGGGTGGCTCAGTGGGTTAAAGCCTGTTTTCGGCTCAGGTCATGATCCCAGGGTCCTGAGATCGAGCCCCACATCGGGCTCTCTGTTCAGCGGGGAGCCTGCTTCCCCCTCTCTTTCTGTTTGCCTCTCTGCTTACTTGTGATCTCCATCTGTCAAATAAATAAACTATTTAAAAAAAAAAAAAGACAAATGGCATTGGAAAGACTGGGAAAAGGACATCCTGATGACAGTACTGGTCGCATGAATATGCATATGGAAGAAAACTGAATTGTGAACTCTCCTTAAACCATGTTCAAAAAAATCAGTCAACTGTAGCTCTAAATGTGACAGGTAAAATGATACAGCTTCGAGACAATAACAGAGTATCATCATGACCTCAGGATAGACAAATACTTCTTAAACAGGACATAAAAAACATCAGTCTCTAAGGAAAAGACTAATAAACTGGACTACATTAAAATTAGAAACTTCTGCTTATGAAAAGATACCATTAAGAGAGTGAAAACTGAAAGCATGAAGTACAGGAAAATATACTATATAAAACCAGCAAAGGATTCACATCCAAAATATATAAAGAACTCCTACTAATCAATAAAAAAAAGAGAACACAATTACAAAATAAGCAAAAGAGCTGAATAGGTACTTCATAAAAAGGGATATCCAAATTGCAATAAACATATAAAACAGTATTCAACCTTATTAGTCATCAGGGAAATAGAAACTAAAAGCTCAATGATATCTGGGTATACATTCACAAGAATAGATTAAAATTAAAAAAACTAACAATTCTAACAGCTAATAAAAGTCTAGAGCAATGGGAACTATTAACCTGGTGGTGGGAGTATAATGTGACACAATCATTTTGGATACTGTTGTGTAGAGCTGACTAAAGTTGAACGTATGAATACCCTGTTAAATCAGTAATTCTACTCCTAAGTTTATAACTAACAGAAATGAGTATGTATATACAGCAAAGGGAACACACGGATATTCTTAACAGAGCATTATTTGTAACAGCCCAATATTTTTAACAGCCCATTATTTGTTAACAGCCCAACCACACACGTACCTATTAATGGCAGAATGATAAATTATATTATCTTAATATAATAAAATATCATGGAGGAATTCAAATGAACAAAGTATTGCTACATGCAATGAGGAATATCACAAATGTCATAAAAGCCAGACAAAAATGCAAACTGTAAGATTTCATCATTTATATAAAGTTCAAAATAGACAAAACTAATCCAAAGTGTTAGAAGTCAGGATAGACATTTTAACTTGGTAAAGTATATGAAAGTATTCTGGTAATTTTCTATTTCTTGACCTGGGTGCTGATTACACCACTGTATTTACTTTGTGATGACTCACTGATCTGTACACTTCCAATCTTTCTATATGTATGTTATACTCTAACATAAAATGTCATTAAAAAAATTTTAAGCTTCTTATCTCCACTGGAATCAGGAAGTCTGCCAGTCAGTGAGTAAGTATGCTGTGGCATGTGATGTTTATACCATGCCCCAAACCAACAAGCCCATGTTTCAGAAATATGCTGAAATCACCTAAGTGCTTTATCCTTAGATACTTATATTTCAGTTCCTGATGATTGAATTTCTCTTGATCTCCAACAGCAGCAAAAGACTCAGAGCAGGTGCTGAGTGAATGCTTGAATGGATGCTCCTTCCTATTAATTTCACAGAGCTCAAGAACAAGTAGATAAAAAGCAGGAAATGACTTACTTTTTCCTTTCCAAGGCTAAACACTCCTCGTCACACTCCAGCCTTGAAAAACAAATGAAACAGATAAAGTCAGGGCACAGATTTTCACAACTCCTACCCAGCAGTAAGTTCTTTATCAACCTGGAAACAGAGCAGACTCTGGCCAAAAACATGGTTACATGAGGTCCCTCTCAAGAACAGGTTGGGGGGCCTCTGGGTTATGGGACTCGAATCTAGTAGGAGTCTTTAGAAGGGCCTTAAAGGGTCTCCAAAACACTCCTAATGACCCCCTGACAGTCCCCCCACCCTCCTCCCCCCTTTTTAAAGATTTTATGTATTTATTTGACAGACAGAGAGATCACAAGTAGGCAGAGAGGCAGGCCGGAGGTGGGGGTGGAGAAGCAGGCTCCCCGCTGAGGAGAAAGCCCGATGTGTGACTCGATCCCAGGACGCTGAGATCATGACCTGAGCCGAAGGCAGAGGCTCAACCCACTGAACCCAGGCGTCCCCTACCTCCCTCTCTTGACACAGCTGTTCTCTTGGGTTGGGCTGGACACATCTAGGTCTCTGCTCCCTCTGTTTGAAGAGAGGCCTAGAAAAGTCTCTTCTAGTCATAACTATATCCTGAGTAAATTTGTGGCATTGGAGTGAGTGTGGTCTTTTAACATCAAATGTCAGTTGAAACACCTGTGTTTGCAAGGCTTTGCTGTGGGAGACAGACAAATGAATGGTTCCTGCCCTCTGGAAATTAATTTTTTCTTTTTCTTTTTTTTAAAGATTTTGTTTATTTATTTGACAGAGATCACAAGTCGGCAGAGAAACAGGCAGAGAGAGAGGGGGAAGCAGGCTCCCCACTGAGCAGAGAGCCCAATGCGGGGCTCGATCCCAGGACCCTGAGATCCATGACCCAAGCCGAAGGCAGATGCTTAATCCACTGAGGCACCCAGGCGCCCCTGGAAATTAATTCTAACACAACACATACATTTTAAAAATTACCTGGCTTGGTGAATTTCCTTCTTAGTAATTAACTTGCTGATTTCCACTGAATCGCCAAGCTGCATGTCTGTTATTTTAGAGGCCATGGAAATAGCAGCTATTCTGAAGTATAAAAAAGAAAGGAAGAAAAGGCATTGCGGTTTCACAGGAATGTCCTAATACTAGATATATAGAAGACTTCAAATTGAATCTATGCTGGACAATTTGTGGGCCTCAGAAACCTATGTACTCGGAACTACCCACACGCTTCTGTCCTATCTCCTTAAATTCTAAGTAGCTCCATTAGAAGCAATGAGACAGTCTATTCAATCCCCCATGCATAGCCGGGCCAATGCCTGGCATTCAGTCAGTATTCAAACCCACTAATGTCAGAGCCACTCTGATGTCTTCTTCTTACTCCAAAAATCCCATCTCCATGACACATCTCTGCGTGTAATCAGAGACACACACAACCACCCATCCCTAACACCTTCATCTCCTTACTGAGATCCCTTTCTGGCCACCCAGTCCCAGGATTTAAGGAAGCTGCAAAGACAATTCAGAGAATAGTCAGAAACCCCCACTACAGAGGAGGAACACAGACTTCTCCTGGCTGTGCCACCCCAAGTGGCAGGATGTTAAAGCAATTCATGAAACTTCAGGACATCTTCCCTTCTGAACCCATGGCGTAATAAGACCAGAAGGGACAGAGACAAAGAAAGAGGAGGAAAAAGAGAAAGGATATTTTACAAACAAAAGTTAGGGAAGGAAAGGGATACAAAGCAGTACTTTTTTCTTTGAACCAGAAAAACTAGATTCAGGAAATTTTATTTCATTAATTAATTATTTTTAGAAAAATTTATTTTAAAAAACTTTTCAGGGGGCACCCGAGTGGCTCAGTCAGTTAAGCATCTGATTCTTGATTTCGGCTCAGGCTGTGATCTCAGGGTCATGGGATTGAGCCCTGTGTTAGGCTCTGCACTCAGTGGTGAGTCTGCTTAAGATTTTCTCTCCCTGGGGTGCCTGGGTAGCTCAGAGGGTTAAGCCTCTGCCTTCAGCTCAAGTCATGATCTCAGGGTCCTGGGATTAAGCCCTGCATCAAGCTCTCTGCTCGGCAGGAAGCCTGCTTCCCCCTCTCTGCCTGCCTGCTTGTGATCTCTCACTCTCTCTCTGTCAAATAAATAAATAAAATCTTAAAAAAAAAAAAAAAAAGATTATCTCCGTCCACCCCTCCCACCACCCCCAGCTTGTGCACAAACTTTCTTTTCTATTAAAAAATATTTATTTATTTATTTGAGAGAGAGAGCTAAGGAGCACATAAGTGGGAGGGAGAAGGAGAGAGAATCTGAAGCAGACTCCACGCTGAGTGCAGAGCCTGACTCAGGGCTCTATCCCATGACCACGAAATCATGATCTGAGCTGAAACCAAGAGTCGGATGCTTAACCGACTGAGCTTAACCAGGCGCCCCTGCACAAGCGTTCTAAAAAAAAGAAAAAACTTTCCAAACTTGACAAAAGTTCCAAGGACTCCATAATAAACACATGCATACACATGTGTACCTTCTGTAAACTGAGATCCACCACTGTTAGTTAACATTTAAGTAGCACTAACCTTTGATAAGTACTGGAAGCTTCGGAGCAAATCATCATCTCTTTTCTTCGTCCACATTCACACTGCAGCTCTATCTGCAATAAGGTTAACATGGAGGGACTTTTAGCATATGGAAACTATAGGAATAGGCAGGTTTCACTTTTATTTTTTTAGAAGATTTTATTTATTTATTTGAGAGACAGTGAGAGAGAGCGTGAGAGGGGAGAAGGTCATAGGGAGAAGCAGGCTCTCCATGGAGCTGGGAGCCTGATGTGGGACTTGATCCTAGGACTCTGGGATCATGACCTGAACTGAAGGCAGTTGCTTAACCAACTGAGCCACCCAAGCACCCAGCAGGTCTCACTTTTAAAGCCTCTCTCAAATCAAACCATGGCAGAGGATACAATGAGTGTCTACCCTTCAGGATGGAGGAAGCTAACCATGCATGCAAACAGATGTGGTAGTTGACACGCTAGGAGGGAATGGTTCACTCTATGGTGACTCTTTCTGGGAATTACTACTGGCCTTACTTAACCCTACCTGAAGGGGCAGACCTAGAATGAGGTTTTTACCACTGAACCTGGCCAGGACCACCCAAAGCCTAATCAAGTCCACCTCATCCGTCTGCTTTCATCTCCTCAGGGAGGCCTTGCTTAGATCCCTCAGAACAGACTAAATTGCACACTCCCATGTTCTTACAGCACCCTCTACAAAGGTGAAATTTCTTGTTCACCACAGTCATAATTCATTATCTGAGTAAGTAGGCAGTATCTGTCCCAACTCACGGAAGCGAGCGTGTGTTTCCTGTTTACTGGTATAGCTCCAGCACCTAGCAAAACCTCTTGCACAAAACACTTATATATTTGTTGAATAAACAGAGCAGGCAATCTGAGTCTCTCTTCAGAATCTGCTCTAAGGGAGAGAGACCAGGTCAAGTGGCAGTGGGTACCTCCTGAACTAAAAGGCCGTTTCAAGCTGGGCACAGAAATCTGTGTAATTTACTCCACCTTCCTCTTGCTAACTTAACTTGTGGTACCTTGCCATCAGTGACTTCTGATTAGAACGTGGGCCCAGGTGCCTCTGCAAGCAGTTCTGGACTCACTAGCAGCCCTAGAAGCACAGTCAATGCCCTATCTGGAGCCAGAAATACGCACCTTGGCTTTACAAGCAGTCATGGGGCAGGGTGAGCTGGGGTGGCAGGGCGCCATACACGGGTGGCCACAGTCAGCTCTGGGGGTGGTGCAGGGCTGCTTGCAGGCCTCGTCCACGAGACACTCTCCTTTGTGACAGAGTCTCTGACACTTGTGCATCCCACATGGTAGCGTGGCACTGCAGGGTAATCCGCAAGAGATATCAGCCAGGTGACAGGGGATGTTGCTTCGTAACTAGGAGAAACAGAAGTAGCCAGATTCTTATCTCCATGTGGGATTTGAGAGGAGTTTTAACTTCGTATTTAAACATTTATGAATTTTCAGAAAGTTACTTTTATCTGAAAAAAATTAGGCTGATATTCAAAATTTGAAAGGTTAGCTTGAAAATAAACAAAAATGAACCTTATTTAATAATACTTGTTATGATCCAAAAGAATTTGTGCTAGAAACCAAGTGTGACTTAAGACCTACACTTCCCAGGGTGGGTAACAAGTACATGACACCAGGTAACTAGGGAGTATCTGAAAATGCTATAACCAACTGAGAGGATCCAGATGATCCCCGCCCACTCCCACTCCCCCAACCCCACCCCCCAACATTGCGCAAACAGCTAGGGCACTGAGCTGACACATGAGCCCTGAGGGCTGGGGACACCCTTGACCCAAGGTTTCAAGACTGCTGGCAGGACCATTTTATATAAATACATTATCAACTCTCCTCACATCTCTTGACTCATGGTCTCCATAGCTTTAAGCAGCTTTGCACTTAAAAAATTAAGGGGCAACATGCCATGAAACCCCAAACTCATTTTTTAAATCTTCCAGGATTCCTTCCTCCAGGAAAAAGATGCTGGAATTTTATTTCTGTGGGACCAAAGCGTACTCTCATACATTCACTCAAATTCTTTTGAGAACTCTCAAAATGAGGAATATACTTTGACTCTAGGGACACATAACCTTTTACTCTTGAAGAGGTGTCCAAAGTCTAGGACATACATGCTTCTAATTGCTTTAGAACCATTTTAGAAGTATTTTGGTAAACTGTAGTTCCCAATTACTAAAAACCTACTTACACTATTGCCGGGGTCTAGAGATAATTTTTGCACATGCTGTATCATCTGTTGTCCCCTCCCCTCATTACTTTCCTACCTTCTCATTATCCTTTAGGAGGTCACTTCCTTTACAAACACCTTCCCTGGGTGTGGGTCCTTCCATCCTGCTCAGTACTTTGTACTTCCCCTGCCATTGCACTTATAATTGACTGTTTAAACACTTGCCTCCTGACCCACAGAGAAGGCTCTACAAGGGCAGGAGTCACACCTATCTTGTTCTCTTCTGAATCACTTGAACCAGGCCTGTTATACCTAGCACTTAATAGGTATGCAATAAATATTTGTCATATTAAGTCCAAATGAGCCATCAACACAAAGATAATACATGGATGTGTTAGAATGGGTACTCTCAAAGGAAGTGAGATTTATAGAGATTTATAAGGACTGTAAGATTTATAAGGGCTATGACTTGAGAACCACTCACAGGAAATAAGGAGAAAAAATATGTCCATCAAAATAAAGATACTGAAAGCATGTTGTCTTAGATATTAAGAGTTTCCAAAAGTGTTGACTAACATGTTATGAAGTAAAAAGGTTACAAATAGGGGCGCCTGGGTGGCTCAGTGGGTTAAGCATCTGCCTTTGGCTCAGGTCATGATTCCAGGGTCCTGGAATCGAGCCCTGCATTGGGGCTCTCTGCTCAGCAGGGAGCAGGCTTCCTCCTCTCTCTCTCTGCCTATCTCTCTGCCTACTTGTGATCTCTCCCTCTCTCTGTCAAATAAATAAATAAAATCTTAAAAAAAAAAAAAAGGTTACAAATAGTATAATCTTTTTTTTTTTTTTTAAATGTAGACTCCTTGGTGGGCATGGGTCTTGGAACTCACAACCCTGAGATCAAAACCTGAGCTGAGATCAAGAGTTGGGACACTTGAGTGAATGAGCCACCTAGACACCCCATAAAAAACGTATGAACTTAATAGAGTATGAGAAAGTGTGTGTCACATATGCCTGATAATCGAGGCATAAGAATGTTAAGAGTATTTCTTTCTGGACTGCAAAATTGTATATTCTTAATTGTCTACAGTGAATATGCGTTTTTTAAAATAAAGAATTTTTAAAAGTGCTTCCAAGGGTCTATAGTCAATGGTGCCAAATAAGCTTACAAGTTGAGAATGAGGATGAAAGTCCTTCATAGTAGTGGCATTGCAGAGGCATAGATGAACCTGGAGGAAGGTATTTTGATCCAGTGGCCAGGACAGGAAGCTGCACAGGGCATAGAGGAAGGAACAGCAGCAGGAGGTGGAGAGACCACCTCCACTCTTTGGGTGCTCTCACTGTAACACCATTACCCAGGCTAGCAACCTCTTCCATGCTAGTTAACCTAAAAGTTGTCTCTGAACACAGCCCATGTTCTCAAGGCCACTGACTTTCACTTGACTGCAACCAGAGTCAAAATGCTATCAAAGAGGCTCAAAATACTACCCACTGTATGATTTCATTTATGTGACATTCCAGAAAAGGCAAAACTACTGGGACAGACAGATCACTGGTTTCCAGGGCCTGGAGACAGAGAGCAAAATAACTACAGAGACATGAAGGAATATTTGGGGGTAAATGAACTATTCTACATCTTGACTGTGGTGGCAATTCCATGACTGTACTAAAGTTTTTGTCAAAATTCAAGGACCTGAACACTTAAAAGAGTAAATCCTCAGTTTTTTAAGATTTGTTTATTTTAGAGAAAGAGAGAGAGCAAGAGCATGAAAGCAAGGGTAGGGGCAGTTGGCGGGTGGGGGAGAGAGAGAGAGAAGCAGACTCTATGCTGAGCGCGGAGCCTGACGCAAGGCTCGATCTCATGACCCTAAGAGATCATGACCTGAATTGAAACCAAGAACTGGACGCTCAACTGAGCCACCTAGGGACCCTGGATTCTTCTATTTCTTCAACCAGCATTTAGCTACAGTGTGATGGTAGATAAATTTTATTTTGTGCAAATTATATTTTAATTTAAAAAAAATAAAGTGGCAAAAAGCAAAACTCTACTTCTTAGAGTGTTTTTTACTTTGAGAAACAATAAGACTAACAATTCCAAAAGTAATTCAATCATAAATCTCTAACTGGAACAATAAACACTTGAGAGAGAAAACTTACCTCGTGTTTTCCCATGCACCATTTCTGAGTTAGGAAAGTACAAGGGGGACACTTCTCTTCACTATGACAAGAATGATACACTGTTAAAAGAAAAAGGAAATTAGGAATTATATTTAGGAATAATGTTCAAATAAAGCCACATAAACTGGGGCACCTCAGTGGCTCAATTGGTTAAGCATCTGACTTTGGCTCAGGTCATGATCTCAGGGTCCTGGGATTGAGGCCCACATCAGGCTCCCTGCTCAGTGGAGAGTCTGTCCCTTCCCGCCAACCCCAGTTGTGCACGCACTCTTTCTCTTTCTCTCAAATAAATAAATCTTTAAAAAAATAATAAAACCACGTAAACAATTATATATGTTATAATGATATATAACATGGAACTTTAAAGTTTAGAAGCTGGGAGTACTTTTTGTTTTATTTTATTAAAGATTTTATGTATGTATGTATGTATGTATGTATGTATATATTTGAGAGAGACAGACAGCATTAGAGTGAAGGGGGAGGGGCAGAGGGAAAAAAGCCTGATGTGGGGCTCAATCCCAGGATCCTGGGATCATGACCTGAGCCATAGGCAGATGCTTAACCGACTGAGCCACCCAGGTGCCCCTGGGAGTACTTTTCAAAATGGAAAACAGGAAAGTAAATAGTAGGTGCTTTAAAGTGTTGAAGGATGAGCATGAGTGAGAAAAAGAAACCTCCACTGAGGCAGGACAGACACATGAACAGAGAAGCAGAGCGGGAGGCAGTTTCTCCACTCATCTCCTTCAGCACAGCCTCTGGTCTGTCCATTCTACTCAATCATTCTTTTGGTCTTACCTTACATGGCAATTGCTCACTCTTGCTTAGCTATCTTTACTACTCATTCCATCTGACATGCTCCCGATTTCTCTCAATTTCCTTGCTGCCTGTAAGAGACAGTTCATCTGGGGGCACCTGGGTGGCTCATGGTCATGATCCTAGGTCCTGCGATCGAGCCCCATGTTGGGCTCCCTGCTCAGCAGAGAGCCTGCTTCTCTCTCTCCCTCTGCCTGCCTCTCTGCTTACTTGTGTTCTATCTCTCTGTCAAATAAATAAATAAAATCTTAAAAAAAAAAGAGTTCATCTGAACTCATCTCCTACAACAAAGCCTTCCTTGTCTGACCATACCTGACCTTGAGCTCTCTTATACTCCCTGATGTCTGAGATCTTTTACAGATGGTTTGCTACCATATTATCTGGCCCATTTTCATGTAATGGTTGGTTGTGTCATGGGCATATAACTACCACCCTCTTCCCCTTGGGAAGAAAGTTAAGAATTTCTACATCATTGGCTACTTTTTTCTTCCTCTGAACCTCTCTGTGTCTGATGCTGGATATACAACACTCAAAGACCAGTTAAATGAATGTTAACAAATGCAGGCTAAAACAACACACCTCATAAATGGTTAAGTTCTCACTATGGACATTAACCACCAGGATATGGACTTCATTTGTATCATCTGCAAGTGAGTGTAAAGGAGGAAGTGGGTAAGTACTGGCTTGGGCACTTAATTCATGCTGGTATGAACACTGAAGTATGGGCTTGCAGACTAATCTGGGAGGGCCATCCTAAGGTCCCCAGGAAAGGAGGGACTTTTTACTTCACAAGGAATTCACTTAAAATTCTATTTTACTCTAGTAACTTAAAAAACTGAGAACTGGTTGCCTATTTGTCAGTCTGATTCATATGGAATCTGGTGACTGGAGTTATTTCAGGTTTGCCTCTGGGACTTGGTAAAATGAAATGATGAGCCCAATATGGTCCCAGAGGAAAGCCAGTAACTAGAATGGACAGAAAATGGATGATGTTAAGTAGCTACAGGCCTGGTATCTCCAGCAGTTTATGAGAGAAGATTTGGAAACAACTTAATTGTCCAGCAACATGAGACTAAGTTATGGCCCATCCATGTAACAGCATACTCCCTTAACTATTAAAAATCTATACTGTAGAGGGGCACCTGGATGGCACAGTTGGTTGAGAGTCAACTCTTGGTTTTGGGTTGAGATTGATCCCTGCATCACATCGGGCTCGCATAAGCAGAGAGTCTGCTTAAGATTCTCCCTCTCCGGGGTGCCTAGGTGGCTCAGTGGCTTCGGCTCAGGTCATGGTCCCAGGGTCCTGGGATTGAGCCCCGCATCAGGCCCTCTGCTTGGCGGGGAGCCTGCTTCCTCCTCTTTCTCTGCTTACTTGTGATGTCTGTCTGTCAGCTGGATGAATAAAATCTTAAAAAAAAAAAAAAAAAAAAAAAAAGATTCTCCCTCTCCCTCTGCCCCACCTACTCATGCACGCCCTCTTAAATAAATGAATCTTGAAAAAAACCTATATTGTAGAAAAATAGTCACTGGTAAGAAAAGAGATCCAAAATACAGTAAGAGGAGAAAATCTAGTTAAAATAAATTCAGTGGGATCTCACTTTTATTTTATGCAAAGGAAAAAAAATGCAAATGTTTATTTTTGCCCATGGGAAAAAAGCACCGAAAAATACTAGTATATAGTAAGGTGTAATTCCTGCAAGGTGGGATAATACATTAATTCCAATCTTTTGACTTTATTGACTTTATCTCACTCTTTCTTTTTATACAATAAACACACATTACTTTTTATAACAACGGTAACAACAAAAAACAAGTAGCTTTCAATTTTGCAAAAAGATGCTCAACCTTGAAATATACATCCAAATTGGAGGCAACGAGAAAAGAAGAAAAGTCCCCGAAAGGTAAGACCAGATGGAGATTCTCCCAGCTTTTCGGGTGTGTGTGACATCCATAGAGTACAGATAGGGAGGGCACTGTGATTCCTAGCTGTGGCCCAGATCACACACTCACCTTCACAGCAGTAGCCCCTGAGAACAGGGAACAAGGGGTGGCAATCACAACATGACCTCAGAGCAGTAAAGACTGTCATGCTACCTTAGAAATGACACAGTGCGAGCAGGCTGTGAGATGCAGAGGAAGGAGCTGGGACCCACCTGGATGGTCACATTCATGGACTCTGGCGCAGGTCTGGGTACACTCAGGGGGTCTGGTACCACAGGGAACTGGCGGGTAGATCACTGATGCACCACAGTGGCAGGTTAGTTCATCAAAACCTGATGGAGAGGTGGGTGAAACAAAACAACCTTTCTGAGTTTGGGATGTGCCCACACATATTCACACAGACACAAACCACACACACTTTTATTTTTGGCTTTTTTTTTTTAGGGGACTGCTTTTTTCACAAAAGGTTTTTATTTTATTAAAGTTGAGCTGGTGCCAAAGGAGCAGAAAGGTATGTTACTTGCAACAAACTTTAAGTCCATGAGTAACCCAGGACACTTTTGCATGTATTTTATAGATAATAGATCTATAAACCATCTCTTTTAAAAGAATAGGAGACTTCTACTACAGTGTTTTTTTTTTTTCAAACTCCTTTGGTTAGAAAAATGGATAGAGATTATGAAAGCCACAGATAATTAGCAAACATACAAAAATATGCATTTGAATAGAAACCTCAGAGAGACACTGAAGCCATTAAAAAAATTTTTTTTAATTTAAAGATTTTATTTATTTATTAGAGAGAGAATGAGAGTGGAGAGGAGCAGAGGAAGAAGCAGGTTCCCTGCTGAGCGGGGAGCCTGATGTGGGGTTTGATCCCAGGACTGCAAGATCATGACCTGAGCTGAAGGCAGATACTTAACTGAATAAACCATCCTGGCGCCACCCCGCCACAAAATTCTTATAGGTAAAATCAACATGTATCATGTTAGAAATATGAAGTTGAGGGCGCCTGGCTTAGTGGGTTGAGCCTCTGCCTTTGGCTCAGCTCATGGTCTCAGGGTCCTGGGATCGAGGCCCACATCGGGCTCTCTGCTCAACAGGGAGCCTGCTTCCCCATCTCTGTCTGTCTGCCTCTCTGCCTACTTGTGATTTCATTCTCTCTGTCAAATAAATAAATAAATAAATCTTTAAAAAAAAAAAAAAGGAAGAAGTATGAAGTTGAAATGAAGCACAGAGCTGCATTCGGGTTCATGATGCACAGTTTCCAAGGTAAATCAAAATGATGACTCACACTGGACAGTTCCAACAAGCAGCCCACCTCAAGAGCTCTCCTAACTCCTAACCCACTGTTCTTCTCCGGTAAGTACTCTTTCCTCCAAACCCTTCAGAGGCTACACAATGTGGCAGAAAGAGCCCTATAAATATAATCAAGAGACTTTGGCTTCAATTCCTAGACCTACTACTTAGCTGCTAAGTAATTGTGAGCTGATAATTTTTTTTTTTTTTTTTAAGATTTCATTTATTTGACAGAGAGAGAGAGACAACGAGAGAGGGAACACAAGTAGGGGGAGTAAGAGAGAGAGAAGCAGGTTTCCCACTGAGCAGCGGTCCCGATTCGGGGCTCGAAACCTGGGGTCATACCCTGAGCCGAAGGCAGATGCTTAAAGACTCAGCCACCCAGGTGCCCCAGTGTGGGCAGGTAATTTAACCATTCTCAACTTTTTATTGGTGAGGTGGGGATACCAAACTTTGGCTTATCCACTCAACAACCTTATTATGAGAAGTAGCTATGTAAAGGGAATGGGGCTACATAAGTTGTTTTCATGGAATCCATGTGTGTGATTTATTTATTTATTTTTAAAAGATTATTTGACACACAGAGAGAGAGAACAATCAGGGGGAGCAGCAGAGGGAGAGGGAGAGGCAGATTCTCCACTGAGCAGGGAGTCTGATGCGGGGCTCAATCCCAGGACCCTGAGATCATGACCTGAGCTGAGGGTAGATGCCTAACCGACTAAGCCACCCAGGTGCCCCCACGTGTGTGATTTTTATTAAAACACTGACACAACTCTTCTTGAAAATGAAGTAGGCCTAGCATTCTAGCAAAGACATTTTGGGAAATCTTGATCTAAGCCAATCTTTAAATGTAGCAGTTCTCTAAATGTGCTGTTGATTCCTAAGGGTCCCTGAGCTCCTTTCAGGGAATCCATAAGGCCAAAATTATTATTATTTTTTTAAAGATTTTATTTATTTGACAGAGAGACAGTGAGAGCAGGAACACAAGTAGGAGTAGTGGGAGAGGGAGAAGCAGGCGTCCCGTGGAGCCAGGAGCCCGATGCTGGGCTTGATCCCAGGACTCTGGGATCATGACCTGAGACGAAGGCGGTCGCTTAATGACTAAGGCACCCAGGTGCCCCAAGGGATGCCTAATAAGACTAAGATTTTTTTTTTTTTTTCGCTATGCTGACATTTGCATTGATGGTGCAAAAGCAATGGTTAGTAAAACTGCCATGGCTTTAGCACAGATCAAGGCAGTAGTGCCAAACTGTAATCATGGTATTTTTCACTGCCAAGCACTTAGAATAAATAAAAAATGCGGGGCACCTGGGTGGCTCAGTGGGTTAAAGCCTCTGCGTTCGGCTCAGGTCATGATCCCAGGGTTCTGGGATAGAGCCCCGTATCGGGTTCTCTGCTCAGCAGGGAGCATGCTTCCTCCCCTCTCTCTGCCTGCCTCTCTGCCTACTTGTGATCTCTCTCTGTGTGTCAAATAAATAAATAAAATTAAAAAAAAAAAAAAAGAAAAGAAAAAAAGAAAGTCCTTGATGAAGCAGTAAAGGAAAAAAACAACCTAGTCCTTAAATATATGTCTTTTCCATTATCTGTGAAACAGAGTGGGAAATCTGCATAAAGCACTTTTGTTGCATACTAAAATATAACCTGGTTGTTTTAAAGAACTGCACTTGTTGGAGTTGTTAGAATGCCATTTTTACTCAAAAGAATGACTTACAAGCTGTGGTTATTTAGACTTAGGCATCTGGCATACTTTTATCAAAAATTACCAAAGTGAGCCTATCATTTCAGGAAAGCCAACTTTGTTGCTAGTGATAAAAGCTTTCAAGCTTTCAAGTGAAAACAGAATTTTGGAAAGTATGTATTTACCACTATGAGCTTGACAACTTCCTAATACTTTTCCTAAGACCTTTCTGGTAAGTTATATTAATGAATGTAAATGTTTAATATTGTAACATAAAATTTTTCACTAATTCAAAAATTTGCATAACACAGTGAATAATTCATTTCCAAATGATCAATATATGATGCTATCAAATCGTGCATGGGTAAAAGATCCATTCAAAATACAAGAAAAACCAATGAATTTTTTTTTTTTTTTTAAAGATTTTATTTATTCATTTGACAGAGAGAGAGAACACAAGCAGGCAGGGAGGCAGGCAGAGAGAGAGGAGGAAGCAGGCCCTCCGCGGAGCAGAGAGCCCGATGCGGGGCTCGATCCCAGGACCCTGGGATCATGACCTGAGCCGAAGGCAGAGGCCTTAACCCACTGAGCCACCCAGGCGCCCCAAAACCAATGAATTTTAATGTGACAGAGAATAAAAACTAAAACCCTGACTCAAGTCCTTTCTGAAGTGAGGCTCAGGTTTGGTGTAATTTCAAAAAAAAAAAGAATTTCACCATTATTACACCTTCTTTTTCCACTATATGTCTATGTGAGGCCAGATTATTTCATTTCCTTCAACTCTATACTGCAACAGATTAATATATAAACAGATATGAGACTCCAACCATCTTTTATTAAATCAAGCATCTGTTCTTCTAGTTAAAAAAAATAGTTTTAAAAATATGTGTAAGGGTGTCTTTGTGTCTCAGTTGATTAAGCATCTGCCTTCAGCTCAGGTCATGATCCTAGGGTCCTGGGACTGAGCCCCACCCACATTGGGCTCCCTCCTCAGTGGGGAGTTTGCTTCCCCCTCAGCCACTTCCCGATGACTCAAGCTCTCTCTCAAATAGATAAAATCTTAAAAAAAAAAAAAAAGTCATTTATGTTAATATGCAATGAGTATATTAACCTTTTTCTTTTAATAATTTTTATTTATTTATTTGTCAGAGAGAGAGAGAGAGAGAAAACAAGCAGGGAGAGCTGCAGGCAGCAGGAAAAGCAGGCTCCCCACTGAGCAAGGAGCCCGATGCAGGACTCGATCCCAGCACCCTGAGATTATGACCTGAGTTGAAGTCAGACACTTAAAAGAATGAGCCACCCAGGCGTCCCTATATTACCTTTTTTTTTTTTTTTAAAAAGATTTTATTTATTTTTTGACAGACAGAGATCACAAGTAGGTAGAGAGGCAGGCAGAGAGAGAGAGAGAAGGGAAAGCAGGCTCCCCACCGAGCAAGGAGCCTGATGCAGGACTCGATTCCAGGATCCTGAGATCATGACCTGAGCCGAAGGCAGAGGCTTAACCCACGGAGGCACCCAGGCGCCCCCCTATATTACCTTTTTTTTTCCCCTTAAATATTTGTTTAGGGCTGCCTCCTGGCCCACCATCTTTCTTTTCTTTTTTTTTTTTTTTAAAGATTTTATTTATTTATTTTGACAGAGATCACAAGTAGACAGAGAGGCAGGCACAGAGAGAGGAAGGGAAGCAGGCTCCCTGCTGAAGAGCCCGGGGCGAGGCTCGATCCCAGGACCCTGGGATCATGACCCAAGCCGAAGGCAGAGGCTTTAACCCACTGAGCCACCCAGGTGCCCCTATATTACCATTTTAGAAAAGATTTTATTTATTTGGGAGAGAGAATGAGTGGGGGGAGGGACAGAGGGAGAAGCAGGATAAATAAAACCCTCAAAAAAATTTCTCAGTTTTAATTTCTAATATGGTAAACAGATATAAATCACATAAAAAGAGCTCTTTGAGGGTCCTTGATATTTTTTTAAAAAGATTTTATTTATTTATTTGACACAGAGAGAGAGAGACAGAGAGAGGGCACACAAGCAGGGGGAGTGGGAGAGGTAGAAGCAGTCTCCCCGCTGAGCAAGAAACCTGACCGGGGATCGGGGGGTGTGTGGGTGGCAACGGGCACACTTGTTCCTGAGCCAAAGGCAGATGCTCAACGACTGAGCCACCCAGGTGCCCTGTGAGGGTCCTTGATTATTTTTAAGAATGCAAATGAGTCCTAAAACCAAGTTTCCAAGCAGCTGCTAACAATATAGAGAAAGAAGACTATTGAGGACAGAATCTGTCAATGATCTTTAAGAGTAACCCAGTAATGGGACGCCTGGGTGGCTCAGTGGGTTAGAGCCTCTGCCTTCGGCTCGGGTCATGGTCCCAGGGTCCTGGGATGGAGCCCCGCATCAGGCTCTCTGCTCCATGAAGAGCCTGCTTCCTCCTCTCTCTCTGCCTACTTGTGATCTCTCTCTGTCAAATAAATAAATAAAATGTAAAAAAAAAAAAAAAAAAAAGAGTAACCCAATAATGAACCAGATCTCATCTTAGCATTGTTGCTGTATCCCAAGTTTTGTACATTCAGGGAAGACAATACAGCGCTAGAATAACTTTTTTTTAACATCTCAACATATCTGAGATACTTAGGCTTAGTTCAGTATCCCATACTAAGTAAATCACTCCCTCAAAATATACTATGCCTGGGGGCACCTGGGTGGCTCAGTGGGTTAAAGCCTCTGCCTTTGGCTCAGGTCATGATCCCAGGGTCCTGGGATCGAGCCCTGCTCTCTGCTCAGCTGGGAGCCTGCCTCCTCCTCTCTCTGTCTGCCCCTCTGCCTACTTGTGATCTCTGTCTGTCAAATAAATAAATAAAATCTTAAAAAAAAAAAAAAATATATATATATATATATATATATATATACTATGCCTGAACTTCTAGAAAACTCTTATAATAAAGCATACAGTGAAGACACTCACTGGCTTGCCAGCATGACTGGCAGTTCCCGCGATGACAAGGTTCTTCACATCTATGAAGGCCACAACGGAGTTTCCTCCCACAAATCAAAGGACACTTGTGCTCCTTATCCTACAAAGAGATTTATATTTGTTTGTAAAATTATCTCCATTTACACTTTCCACAAACAACAAGAAGGTAATAAAAAAGGCTCTCCAAATTTATGGTGAAATAATGTCTGGGATTAGCTTCAAAATAATCAGAGGGAGTAGGTGTGGATGTGGATGAAATAAGATTAGTTAAGAGCTGGTCATTACTAAAGTAGGATGTTGGATATGTGAGACTCATACTAATCTCTCTGCCTTTGTATATGTTTGAAATTTTTAATAAGAGGAAGTCTTTAAGCCTTCAAATACTGATTTATAAGTCTTGATACGTTGTCCAATTTTATCACTCTATATCTTGTCAATATGTAAACTTTAAAAATAACAATTACATACAATATACATATATAGGTGAGTGTACACATGCACTACTTTGGTACTGGCACAGTGTTGCCTTGTTTATACACAAAACACACATGCACAACATGGTAACACAGTACTGCTGGGCAGTGCTTTATTTAGTTCCATATAAGTCAATTATTCAGATAACTGAAACGTGCTCCTTTCAAATTGCCCTACTCATTTTGCCTACTGACCTGATCCATATTGTATGTGAAACCCAAAGCCTAACTTGCTAAGACCAGCCCAGTCTGTATGTTGGGACAGCACATAATCTCCTGTGGAGGACTGTATGCTCATCTGGTGATCTTGGATTCTGGAGCCTGAGGCCTTCTGTCTTTCTTCTTTCTGTCTTTCTCCCATATTGCCACAGGCTGACCTGGCTAGGACCTAAAATGGTCTGTCTCTTTGGGTAACTCTCTTACTGCTGCCCAGGGGCCCCTCCCAGTGATTTCTAAATCTGGGCTACATTCCAGATGGCTGAGGCTTCTAGATGCCCAGCCCTTGGATGAATGCAATCTGACTGTACCTAATGATAGGTCCACTTACCACACAGCAGATCTCATTACATTTATGCCGTCCACACAACCGTTTCTTGTTACACCGCTTATCACACATAAATGTAGCATCTGCTGTGGCCAATTAAAAAAAAAAAAAAAGGGCAAGGATATGAACATTCAGCAAATATTTGAGTGACTACAAGGTGAAGAAATACAAATGTAATAATGTAAATAAGTTAGTTATGGTGAAAATACATACAAAAAGATACTTTTCATTTGTCAGTCTGTCAAAAAAAAGACAATGGAAGACTGAGTAATATTCATTATGGGTGAATGTATAGAGAACAAGGCACACTCAGTGGATAGGAGTATAAAGTTTTGGTGTACATAGTATCTATCAAAAATTTCAGTGGAAATTCTATCTTAAGGAATCATTCCTACATATATACTTTCAAAAGTGGCTAAAAAAAAAAAGTGGCTAGAGCACCAAAAGCACAAGTAACAAAAGAAAAAAAAAAATTGGGATAGATCAAAATTAAAAGATTTTGTGCACCAAGGACACCATTAAAAAAGTGAAAAGACAGCCCACATAACGGGTGAAAAGATTTGCAAATAATCTATCTATACAGGTCCAGGATCCAAAATACATAAACACTCTTACAACTCAAAGAGAAACTACCCAATTAAAAGACTGGCAAAGGGGACGCCTGGGTGGCTCAGTTGGTTAAGCGGCTGCTTTCGGCTCAGGTCATGATCCCGGCGTCCTGGGATCGAGTCCCACATCGGGCTCCTTGCTTGGCGGGGAGCCTGCTTCTCCCTCTGCCTCTGCCTGCCTCTCTGTCTGCCTGTGCTTGCTCACTCTCTCTCCCTCTGTCTCTGGCAAATAAATAAATAAAATCTTTAAAAAAAAAAAAAAATAAATAAAAAAAAAAAAAAATAAAAGACTGGAAAAGGACTTAAAAAGACTATTTTCCAAAGATTATAAATGGCGAAGTACATAGAAAAATGTTCAACGTCACTAAGGAACAAATGAAAACCATAATGACATATCACTTCATATATATTTAGGGAAGCTATAATAATAATAAAAAAAAACCACATAAAAACCAAAACCAAAACAAAACAATAAGGATTGGAGAGAATGTGGAAAAACTGAAACCCTCAGACATTGTTGAGGGGAATGTAAAATGATGTAGCTGTTATGGAAAACTGCTGTGGCAGTTCTTCAAAAAATTACACACAGAATTACCATATGATCCAGCAATTCCACATGTAGGTACATAACCAAAAATAATTTTAAACAGATATTTTATTTTATTATTTTTTAAAGATTTTATTTATTTATTTGACAGAGATCACAAGTAGGCAAAGAGGCAGGCAGAGAGAGAGGAGGAAGCAGGTTCCCCGCTGAGCAGAGAGCCCAATGTGGGGCTCGATCCCAGGACCCTGAGATCATGACCTAAGAGGAAGGCAGAGGCTTTAACCCACTGAGCCACCCAGGCGCCCCTAAACAGATATTTTAACCAAAACTTGTGTACAAATGTTCACAGTAGCACTAATCGTAACAGCCAAAAGATCAAAACCACCCAAATGTCTGTCAACAGATGAATGAATAAATAATTGTGATATATTCACACAATGAAATATTATTCAGTCATAAAGAGGAACGAAGTTCTGATATGTGCTACAACATGGATGAATCTTGAAAACATGCTAAGTGAAAGAAGCCAGGTATAAAAGGTTACATATTATATGAGCCCATTTATATGAAATACTCAGAATAGGTAAACCCAGAGACAGAAAGCACATTAGTGGTTCCCAGGGGTTTGAGGGATGAGTGAGTGAGTAGTGAAAACTTAATGAATACAGGGTTTCCTCTTGGGGTGATGAAAATGTTTTGGAACTAGACAGAGGTGATGGCTGCACACAACACTGTGAATTTACTACACGCCATTGAATTGTATACTTTAAAACGTTCTGTTCTATGTTACGTGAATTTTATCTCAATTTTTAAAAATGGGCTAGGTACTGAAATGTTTACAGGTGAAATAATGTTCGAGATTTGTTTTCAAAGTATCCTAGTGAAAATAAAAAGTAGAGAAGGGAGGGATGGGTGAAACAAAAAAGGAAAAATGCTGATAACGGATGATGGGTGACAGGTACTTAAGGGTTTATTACACTAATTTTTCTACTCTCACTTATGGTTGAAATTTCATCATAAAGTTTTAAAACATCAGACAAGATGGCTACCGCATCATCTGTAGTGGGGAAAAACTGTAGACAACCCGAATGACCACCCAAAGGGCAATGGTGAACTATAGGTTAACTATAGGGCAGCATCCCCACATACAGAATACTGAGAGGGAGAGCTATATACACTGACATGGAAAAATGTCTTTGATAGATTACTGAGGGGGAAAAAAAAAAAAAAACCAAGGTGAAAACAGCATGTTTAGTATAAATGTAAGTTTAGAGGAAAAAACAAAACTAACGGGATGTGTATACAACTAAATGAATAGAGAAGGGGCGCCTGGATGGCTCAGTGGGTTAAGGTCTCTGCCTTCGGCTCAGGTCATGATCCCAGGGTCCCAGCATCGAGCCCTACATCGGGCTCTCTGGCAGGGGACCTGCTTCCCTTCCTCTCTCTCTGCCTGCCTGTCTGCCTACTTGTGATCTCTGTCAAATAAGTAAATAAAATTGTAAAAAAAAAATAAATGAATAGAGAAAAAGATCTAGATCCATACCCAAGAAACTAATAACCGTTTCATCAGGGAAGTGAAACTAGGAGGGGAAAATTGGGTTAGGGCATATTTTCACTTTTTACTTTATATTGTATTTATTTTTTTACTTTAAAAGTGTATTAGTGTTATTTTTTCAAATTATGTCTTTAATAACCAGAATTTTGACTGTGGGCTTAAGGCGGATATTTCTAGTCCCCTCCCAGCCACTCCCCACCTCCTTAAGGCTAATAGAGCCTTAATTTTGTTCAGAAATTGGGTGCCCCTGTGCTCCTCAGTTCAAGGTTGACTGTAGAATAGTCTATCTACCCTGTTAATTCCATTCCCCTTGTTAATATCCGGTTTAGGCAGGAACATGTGACACAGAGTATACTAATAGCCTCTCAGGACTATTTTCCTTGCTGGTAAGAAGGAAGGGAAGCTTGGGGCACCTGGGTGTCTCAGTCAATTACACACCAGACTCTTGATTTTGGCTCCAGTCATGATCTCAGGGTTGTGAGATCAAGCCTCAAGTTGAGCTCTGTACTCAGTGGGGAGCCAGCTCAAGATTCTCTTTCCCTCTGTGCCTCCCCACCTCACTTGCTCTCTCTTGGGGGGAAAAACGAAGAAAGGGAAGCTTAAGAATCTCTTTCCTTTAGATGTTGTTGGGTAAGATGTGTGGATTTGCTGTAGCTAACTTACACCCATGAGGAGAAAACCAAAAAAATCAGAGAGGCTGACTTGATGTCCTGCAATCAGTGAGGCTGGAACTACCCAAGCCTGGACTTGTTCTGCCTCCATACTTCCTATTATGTGAAACAGTAAACTCCTTTACTGCTGATGTTACTTTTCCCTGGGTTTTCAATACCTGCAAACAAAAGCATCCTAACCCAATACAGCCTTTTTCCTGGCCAGAATAACAGCTTTTATTCTGTACACATTTAACTTGTATCACTTTTCCAAGAAGTTTCCAGGTGGCTTAAACAAAAGACTATGAGATGGTTTGCAAAGGACAGAATCATAATAGTATGGAATGTCAGATCAAGGAGAGAGGAAGAAAGAAAATGGTAGTCCTCAAGGCTAAGAAGGCTGCTGGTTGAGTATCTGTTCCAGGTATGCAACAGTCATATCAAGTCTTATGGGGATCAAGCATCAGAGTTGTGTAAGAAGTTTACTGTATTAGGGATTATTCACCTTCACCCCTACTACAATCATTTTGCTATGAAAATTTTCAAACATATAAAGAAGTTGAAACAACTTTACAGTAACTATCCACATGCCCATTACTGAGATTCTATCACTACTTTTTCACATATCTACCATTCTATTTATCTTAATATTTGATGAATTTCAAAGTCAGCTGCAGATATGAGTACACTTACCCTACCCTAATTTTAGCATTTCATTAACTAGAATTCAATTTATGATTTTTACTTTTCTTTTGAGGTAAAAGTTATATACAATGAAATGCACAAATCTTAAGTGTACCTTTACTGAGCTATGACAAATACATAACCCAAACCCCTTTCAAGATAGAGAACAATTACTTTTATCCCAGAATGTTTCCTCTTGTCCCTTCCCAGTCATACCTTCACTTTTGAGACTGGTACATGGAAGCTCCTATGGAAAAAAGGAAAAAAAAGGTAACAGTAACTCCTTTAGGAATAAATGAAACGACACAACTATAGTGTAGTGCTAAATGTAGCATGTATATCCTAAATATCCTGTACTTCCCTGGCATTCACTTATTGACTGTCTGTCTGGAACTAGGTTAGCTCAGTCTCTGTATTAATATGCTTTACTCACAACAGGGCCCCAGGTTTACTGACACTTCATAACATAATTGTACAATCTTTGTGGTCTGGCCTGCTAATTTAAAGTAGATAAGGAATTATAAAATCTGAATGGAAAGAGGGGCTGCTAAAGGTATACAAAACAAAGAAAAATAATTGCCTGGCAAGGGTAGACAGAAAAAGCCATAAAAAGCAGAAAATGTGAAAATATGTAATAATGTACTACTAGAAGCAAATAGCTCAACACACTTGAGAGCAGCCCTGACATTGCTGAAATGCAGCAAAGAAGAATACAGTAGTCATCCAGTATTCAAAGTATTACTGTAGTAATTATATATGAATGACCCCAAAGATCACACATAACTTGCTGAGGCATGATCCCAAGTAACAAGTGTGGAAAGGCAGCTGTGTGGGAGCAAGCCAGTCATCTGGGGGAGAGGGAGCCTGGCTGCCTACCATCTACAGCTCAATTTGTCTTTGATGTCACTCACAGGTTGCTATGTACTCAGAAACTAGCAAAATGATAAAAATATGCTTTCTTAGTGAAAATGACCCTGAAAAAAGAGGCAGCTGCTAGAGTTGAAAACAGAGGTAAAAAGGTCTAAGAAATGGAAGATTCTGGCTAGAAAGATGTTTTAGATAAATTCGTTGGCTAGGTTGGATGATAAGAAAAAGTTCCCCATATGTTTTCTAGAATCCTGAGTAGCCTCATGTAAATTGCTTGAGTGAATGTTCCAGTTAATGCAAACACTGGATTATAGAGTAGAAATGACACGCTAGAGTGGTATCTATAATTGCAGGGAAAGGCAGAGTTCCTATAGATTCCTAAAATCAGAATGAATTACCAACAAAAACTTAAATACAGTACTTTTTGTTAAGAGGTAGTGAGATGTAGCATACATTTTTCAAAGACCCCCACCAAAGTGATTAAAAGAAAACCACCACTGAAGCTTTAAGAAGTAAGTTTTATTTATCGAGAAAACTCACTTCCAGGGGCGGGGGGTGGCTCAGTCAGTTAAGCGTCTGCCCTTGTTTGGCTCGGGTCATGATCCCAAGGTCCTGGGCAAGAGCCCTGGAGTTGGGTTCCCTGCTCAGTGGGGATCCTGCTTCACCCTCTCCCTCTGTCTCTCCCCTACTCATGCCTTCTCTCACTCTTTCTCTCTCAAATAAATAAAATATTAGTTTAAAAAAAAAGGAAAACATAAAACTTACTTCTAATAGAAAAGCCCATTCCATACAAAAGACATTTCATGAAAAATTTGGCTAAACAACATGGCGATGATCAACAGTTTCAAAGAGATTTTTCACTTTGTCAAAAGGTTTCAACAGAATTCATACTGATAGTGAATGGCTCCAGCAATTTTAGAATAAAACTTATTTGCAAAAATTCTATTTACATGGGGTGCCTGGGTGGCTCAGTGGGTTAAAGCCTCTGCCTTCGGCTCAGGTCATCATCCCAGGGTCCTGGGATCGAGCCCTACATCAGGCTCTCTGCTCAGCAGGGAGCCTGCTTCCCTGCCTACTTTTGATCTCTTGTCAAATAAATAAATCTTTAAAAAAAAATTCCATTTACACACATCTTTTCATGAGTACACTCACTGCCATGGGATCCACTATTAGAGAGAGTGAGGAAGGATAGTGAATGAGAAGCAGAAAAGCAGAGAAATGGGATTGCAGGGGAGAAAGAAGCAAAATGACAGTAGACATTGCTAGCTCACACACCCCAACCCTGCCTGTACGTCTTGGTCACAAAGAGCACCTCTGCGCATTACTAAAATTGTGATTACTACATCACAGTACTTCACAGTCTTCAAGGTGCTGTAGCTGACATTCAAAATATCTCTACTGCCCCATGTACTCTGCAGTTTCTTTCAGAAAAGAAACACACGGGGCACCTGGGTGGCTTAGTCAGTTAAGCGTCTGCCTTTGGCTCAGGTCATGATCCCAGGGTCCTGGGATTGAGCCCCATATGGGCTCCCTGCTCAGCAGGGAGCCTGCTTCTCCCTCTCCAGCTCCCCTGTGCTTGTGTTCCCTCTCTCACTATCTGTCATAAATAAATCTTTATTAAAAAAAAAAAAAAAAGAAAGAAAAGAAACACACACAACTTTTGCCACATGTAAACCACATTATTTTTACATTTTTATTCTAAAGCTTACCTAATAAGCCAGCTCCCAGTTTATGGACTATATACTCAGAAACATTTGCAAGTCAGCAGCTACCCAGACCTTGGGCTTGGTAGCAGAGACTATGCACTGAAAGTGGGTCAGAAATGACAGACTTATACTTGGTATGTTCTCCAAGCTGGATTACCCAAAGATTTCCACAGCAAGGCTCCTACCTTTGGTTACAAGCAAAGGAATGGTAACAATGGTAGGATGTCCCTTTTCTAACCAAGGGGCCAATAAAAACTGCCCTGGGCAGAAAGTAGAAATTGATAAAACAGTTGTATAGTTAATAATTAACCTTCCTCAAAGGATGGTCGACCTTTGCCATTGGCTTCAGGGAGATTACATCTCTAAACCCTTGGAATATCATGCCTGACAGAAGGAGTGGCACTCTTTGCCTGAGGCCTTGGGTCATCACACAGTGTAACATAATTTAGGGTACAGGCTGGCTATACTGAAAAGTCTTAAGGTGGGGACTGGCTACACCACCAAGACCAATGATGTACTTCAGGGTGGGACTTTGGGTCACACAGTAACCATAGACCTCTGGTGACACTGAAGATTGATATCACCACATGGGCAGTCAACCATGTGTACACAATGGAGCCTAAGTAAAAACTGCAAACCCAGGCTTGGGTGACCTTTCCTGGTTGGCAAAACTCCATGCATATTATTACCAACTGATGTTGATAAAGTAACATTGTTCCAACTCCACAGGGAGAGGACAAATTAGAAGCTTCATACTTGCTATTTCTTGGACTCTGCCCTGCATGTTTCTTCCTTTGGGTGATTATTAATCTGTAACCTTCTCCCATAATAAACTGTAAGCACCATTATAACAGCTTTCAATGAGTTCTGCTGAGTCCTTTTAGTGAATTATCAAACCCTGAGGGTGGTCTTGTGGACACTGGACTTGCAGTTAGTATCAGAATTTAGGGTGGTCTTATGGACTATTCTAATTCAGCAGTTGTCTAAACTCTTGCAATGGGTATCATAAATGAGGGTGATCTTGTGGACTGAGTTCTAACTTCTTAGTTAGCTAATTTCTTGTAGTAGTGCTTTTGCTCTATACCAGCATCTAGCATTATCACCACTTGTATTTGGTAGAGCTATCTGTATGCTTGCTTAGCCCCATTACTGGTCTCTGAGCCTGGAATGCTACTTCCCTCTACCCCCAATACCTACCCTACAACTGGCCCCTGGTTGCTGTCAGCATACACTGGCTGGATTGAATGAATCATACATAGTATGATAGGAATAAAACATTACGATGTTATATTGATTCCTCCCATCCCATCATCACTAATTTAAAAGGTATGGGTGATAACTCTAACATTGTTTATGATTTACCTTTGTTCTGAAAGAGCATCGGCAGGAAATAACTGATGTACGAGAGCATGGTCCACAGTCTCCTTCATGGCAGAGTTTTTCGCAGGTATGAATGAAATCTTTAAAAAAAATGAAAAGACTAGGAATGAACACTGCAAGTACTCATTTTCAGAGTCTCAAGTTCACTAGCCACATCAGTCTTCGAATTCTATGCCCCGCAACTCCAGAATCAGAGTTGAGGGAAGAAGAATGTGTTCGAAGCCTCTTCCCTTATCTTTCCTTCATCTGGCAGGCTGGGCCTTTTATGGCAAAGGCAGTGCTCAGAATTAGTCCCTGGAATAGCCTCTGGAATGCATAATGCTTTGCCTAAGTCAAAAATCAGTTCTGACTTTCTTTAGGCCTCAAGCCTCAAGGCTAGACTTGAGAAGATCCTTAAAATTAGAGCCATGGATGACTTTACTGAAGTGCTCTTGACTCTGAAAATCTGAGGATCATAAACAATCAGAAACCATGATCCATAACCTCATTGACTCCAGCTCCGTGACTACCTGCTGGTAAGAGGCCCACCATTCATTCTGCTAAAGTAGGTTTAGGACAAATCCTGTTTCAAGGACCCCTCGGGGATCAGCCACAGTCTCTTATGGCTGCTATTTAAATGTGTTTCTTTCCATCCTTTTATTTTTCGGCCTAGTTTTATTTTTAACTCTAAAGTCAGTTTTCTAAAGATACCACATAGTAGGATCTTGTGCTTTTAAAAAAATTTTGGTTGGATAGCCTCTGCTTTTTAGTAGTTTAATCCATTGACACTAATGTTATTATTGATACAGTTGGATTATATCTGCCATTTAACTTTTACTTTTCGTATGCCTCATGTCGTTTTTGTTACTCTAATCCTCCTTTACTGCTTTCTTTGGCATTAAGTTAATATTTTCTAATATAACATTTTTTTTCCTTTAATGGTATTTTTCACTATTTTTAAGGATTTTTTTTAGTTTTTTTTTTTTTAATTATTTTTATTAACATAAAATGTATTATTTGCCCCAGGGGTACAGGTCTGTGAGTCATCAGGCTTACACATTTCACAGTACTCACCATAGCACATACCCTTTCCAATGTCCATAACCCAGCCACCTCTCCCTAACTCCCCCACCCCCCAGGAACCCTCAGTTTGTTTTGTGAGATTAAGAGTCTCTTATGGTTTGTCTCCCTCCCGATCCCATCTTGTTTCATTTTTTCCTTCCTTACCCCCCAAACCCCCGCCCTGCCTCTCAAATTCCTCATATCAGAGAGATCATATGATAATTGTCTTTCTCTGATTGATGGGGGTGCCTGGGTGGCTCAGTGGGTTAAGCCTCTGCCTTCAGCTCAAGTCATGGTCTCAGGGTCCTGGGATTGAGCCCCGAGTTGGGCTCTCTGCTTGGCGGGGAGCCTGCTTCCCCCTCTCTCTCTGCCTGCCTCTCTGCCTACTTGTGATCTCTGTGTGTCAAATAAATAAATAAATAAATCTTTTAAAAAAATCGTCTTTCTCTGATTGACTTATTTCGCTCAGCCTAATACCCTCTAGTTCCATCCACATCATTGCAAATGGCAAGATCATTTCTTTTGATGCCTCACAGTATTCCATTGTATATATATATATATACATCTTCTTTATCCATTAATCTGTTGGACATCTAGGTTCTCTCCATAGGCTATTGTGGACGCTGCTGCTATAAACATTTGGGGGCACATGCCCCTTCGGATCACTACATTTATATCTTTAGGGTAAGTACCCAGTAGTGGGATTGCTGGGTTGTAGGGTAGCTCTATTTTCAACTTTTTGAGGAACCTCCATGCTGTTTTCCAGAGTGGCTGCACCAGCTTGGATTCTCACCAACAGTGCAGGAGGTTTCTAGGGGGATTATTTTATGAATAATTGTTCTAGGGCTTACCATACACATCTTATCAGAATCTACTTCAGATTTATACAAATTAATTCCAGTGAGATATAGAAGACTTGTTCCTAGGTAGCTCTATTCTCGCTTCTTTTATGCTTTATTGTTGTATATGTCTACATATTATAAACCCACAAATACATTATTAGATTACTTTCTATAATTTCTATTAAAGTTGAGAAAAGGAAAGCAAGCATATATTCATGGTTTGTTGTATTGATCATCTTATCTACCATTTCTGGCTTTCTTCATTTGTTCCTACTGATCTGAGGTACCACCTGGTACTACTTCCTTCCTCCAGTACAAGTGTGGTCCCATCCACACCCTTTGTGCTCTAACTGTCAAATGTATTTTCACATCTTATAAGCCTAACGATATAATTACACATTCTTATACAACCGCTTCTTAAGTCAGTTGCAAAGAGAATATGCATTTACACTGTCCTTCAAAATTACGAAATTAGTTACTTTTTGATTTTTCATATGAATTTAAATCTGGGTTTATTTGCTTTTATCCTGAAGAACTTCCTTTAGTATTTATTATGAAGTGATCTACTAGCAATAAATTCCCTGCTTTTATTTTCATTTCTGGAAGACAGTTCTGCTGGACAGAAGCTTCTCAGCTGACAGTTCCCCGCGCACCCCCTTCCTCCAGCATTTGAATAGTTCATTCCAGTGTCTTCTTATTGTGATGTAGTATTCTCCATTGATTCTGATGAGAAGTCTGCTGTAATCTTATAGGGGGTTCTCTTGTATGTGAGGAATCCTATTTCTCTTGCTTTCAAGATTTTCTCCTTGTCCTTGGTTTTCAGCTTTTTACTTGTGTCTAGGTGTGAATCTCTTTGAATTATCTTATTAGGTAAGCTGAGCTTCTTGGATACACAGATTAATGGTTTTCAATAAACTTGAAAAGTTTTCAGTTATTCCAATACTTCTTTTGCTTTCTACCATTGTGATATTCCCATTATACATATGCTTATGGGCTTAAAAGTGCACTGCATTTGTATGAGGTGCCATTCACTTTTCTTCATTCTATTTTCTCTCTGTTGGGCATAAATTGCTCAGCCCTCTGATCCAATGAAGTGTGGGTAGGGGTAGTCTTTGAGTCAAGTCTGTGAAGTTTGTTCTGACCTCAGAAGGGCTCCTCTTAGCTATCTCTTTCCCTGGTTCTTTCTGCTGAACTAGCTGGCTTACATTTTAGCTTATTGCCCTTAATTAAAAAGAGGTGTTATTTTTTAAAAGTCCTTAAGGTCTCAACTTCTCCACAGTGTTTCAAATCAAGGTCTATTCCTTTGGGGGACTACTTTGTAGACTTCTGGAAAAAGTCTCAGTTACTTATTCTTGGTGCCAAGTGGGACAGTAGCCTCTGGTTTTCTTGGCTTATTTTTCCAGTGTGGAACATCTGCTCTAAAAAGTGAGCTGTGCTGAAGATGACTGGTGCCCCAACAGTCTAGCCTGTTGTGACTGGGGAAGAACTGACTTATGGGTGGGGCTGTATGGAAAGGAGCCCCCAACCTCTCAGCTGTGCTTACCAGAAATTTAGCCTCTTCAACTTAGTTAGAGGGGATGAAAAATGCTGGCAGTCTGTTCTTCCCAGTGAGATATGGTAACCCTTGACTGGGAGCTTAGGGGTAGAGGCAGCCTCATCTTCCTGGCACACCTATCCTGAGTAGAGCTTTTGTTAAGTTGAGCTCGGGGAGAAAGAAAGGAAGTGGACTATGACTTAAACGACACAGACTCTTGCTGTTCTTACTGAATTTTAGATTTTCTTTAATAAATACTTTTCCATTTGATGTATGCTCATAGGACAATTTCCAGAAACTTTAAATGATTGCTTTGTAATAATTTTCCCTAGCTTTGCCTGTTTTGCTGGGGAGTGCGTCCATGTAGCTCATGTTCCCATCCTGAAAGCAAAACTCTCCCTAGTGTCTTGTACTAAAGTGATCTGTCTAGGATAGAAATTCCTATTGAGTGAGCTACTAAAAGATCCCCCCAAGCTTTCTACAGATAAGCCAGATCTGAATAAACTTGACATTCATTGTTTTCACTAGCCATAGGCTTATCTTTGAGCTTCTTAATCCAACAGCCTAATTCCTTACAAATTTTTCATGATTAAAAACTTGTTGAGGTACAGTGGTTAACCTCAAACCCCTTCATCTGGTCTTGTCCCACCCCTGGGCCTGTTTATACAGACAATTACTATCTTTCTCTTGGTCAAGTCCCCATGCACTACCCAATTTACATTTTCTCTTTCTCTCATTGCCAACATATCTTAGCCCCACAGTGGGATTTTTGGTCTTCATATATGAAATCATTACAAAACTGACCCATGAGCTTTCTGAAAAGGGAAGACCCTTACCATCCTTGATTTTGAAGCCATTTGATCTCCATTTTACAGAGCTTATCTGAAGATACATTTTTATAGTAGGCAAAGAGAACCAACACACAACTCGTTTTCCCAATGCAGTAAAAATATGTATTAAAATATGAGAAAAGAGCATTTCTCCTCTATACATAATTTTAAAATCACACTGAAAAAAATAATAAGGGTGTACCTACCAGTTTTTGCTGTTTCTGGAAAAAGTACGAGATCCCTCTTTTCGATAAACATGGAAACCAAACCCAAAGATTTTAGTTTTGCTAATTAGTTATAGGAACACCTCTCTTATATAAACTCCATTGCCCATGTCTATTTTACACAGCCTTTGAACACTCACCCAAGAGAGAAGGTGCCAAGTCATTGTAAAACTATACAGGTATATTCCCCAAGGACTGCTTCAGAATGTCTCAGAGCTCAGACTATTACTTTAAGGCTAATTCCAACAAACTTTTTTTCGTTTCTATATCCAAGTAATCAGAAGCCACAAGTCAGAAAAAAGGGAGAGTCACTAATGGTAGGCACACAGACATACTAAAAGCAATGACAGGAAAATAAACCACCAAAAACTTTAACTAGTAGATAAAGGAATTCAAACTGCACATTGGTGTAGGGAAATTGCCTGAGAAACCTCAGCAGACCCTAAGGGCATCACTGTACCCAGCATACTACAATAACTGAGGTTCAGGAAAATGATTACTCTGGGTCAATAAAGAAGAAAGAAATTATCTTCAGTAATCTCTGTTTAAAGAAAGAAAATGTAATTATTAGAAAACCACCCTTCCAAAATGATGTTTAGGAGGTCTTTTCACCCAACTAGATGGGAAACTTACCTAGAGAGGAAGTATTTTTTGAGTACTCCAAATGGCTAAAGTTTTATTGTACTTATTAGCATTTTAGTTCTTAAATATCTCACCCATAGTAATTTAACATGTTCTTATTATATGAAAATGCCTTTAAAACACTCACTGACCCCTAGACTGGTAAAAGGATATGTGGTGTTCATACTATGGCAGGTTACTAAGAGAAGTTATAACCCACCCACCCCTACCCCACCCTGCCACCCCACGTGGGATAGTATCTCACAACTGTCCTGAGTTAGTAATAAAATATCCGAAGCAGAAGGAGAGATCACTTGGGCATATTTGGGCTTTTACAAGTATACTTTGAGGAAGAAAGGAAAAATGCCCACACAAATTTGACCATTAATATTTTCAAAAGCCGCTGATATTATAACTGAAATTTAACACTATTCTGCTTATATAGTCACTGCTGCCAAACATTTCCATTCACATTGTTAAAAACAGCTATATGCCTACTGGTTACCTAGGGAACCACATGGCAGAGGCTTGCCACACACTTTTCCACATGAAGGGACAGGATCCATGCAAGTTTTCCGACCACTACTTCCAAGTTCTAGCAATTGACTGAGAGGAGTTTGGCCACAAGGGCAACATCGCACCAGCTGGGGGAGCCGTGGGCATGGCTGGCAGGGCTGAGGGTGGCACACTTGAGAACATGTATGGTTCCCACATTTCAAGTCCCTGTTAAGAAAAACATCAGACTATTATGTAACTGTTGCATAAAACATGGCTCTATTCTATCTGAGAAAAACATAAAACCTTACTTGCCACATATCTTTAAACAGCCAAAGTCGCCAAATCCATCAGACTTTCCTACATCTGTTCCACATAACACATCTCGGGAAGTGCTGCCACAGTAGCATACTTGAGGATACAATTTCAAAAACAAAGGTTAGTAAACCGTATGGGTTCTTAAAATATTCCAAACAATCTATAAGAATCTAGCACAAAATGCTATTCATTAGTGATTAGACCTGATGCAGAAACAAATGTGGCTTCTACAGCAGCTCTAAGGACCAGCTAAGAGGCTTTATCATAGGAAGAAGTAAAAAAGGCCTTGTAAGACTGTCGGTATCCCCTGGTGCCTCTGCAGCACATCCCCAAAACATCATTAAAGTGAAGCAACCTTCTAAATTAAGAGACTATCTGGCTCATAAGGCCATGGCTGAGAACCATCCACCCTCAGGCTCCCTGGGGTCCTCTGGTTACAGGAGATGGAAGCTAAGCTGGTGACAGTCGTGGAGTGAGTGGAGTGAGGACTGGATCCCCACAATCTTCACTCCAACCCAAGCAGCACAGATTTAGTACTTTATATATTGGGGTACACTTAAAATGCTTAGAAAACTTTCTATTGCTAAAAAGGAGTAAGAAAAATCAGCGTAATATAAAATCCTTAATAATCTATATTCTACTACCATTGAATTTGAAGTAATCATGTTTGAGTATTCACACTGAGTAGAAAGCTCAAACCCTTAAGACTTTTATTTGCTAGATAAAGAACCCCATCCAACATCTATAGATCGTCCTTTGGGTTCAAGAAATAATGAGTTCCTTTATTTCTTTTTTTTTTTTAGTTCCTTAATTTCTTAATATTAGCAAGAAATAAGTGTTATATTTAAGGAGTTAGGTTTCTGATGTATTAATATGTAACAAGGTGTGATAAGAATTAATTTTCATCAATTTATATAGTTTTTTCTAAGTGTCACTTCACATTTTCAATTTATAATAAAAAATTTATCTTGTTAAAAACCAATCTGTGCAAATACAGTTGGCCCGCATAATAGTTGCAAACCAAAAGAGTAGAAACTAATTGAAATCTTGCAGACTTAATGATGCTCTCCTTCTTTCTCAGTATAACTTAGATATCTACTTGCACAGAAAATCAATATCAAAATAAATGACATCTTAAAATCACGTATTAGTAAAAAATAAAATAGAATACTTCTAACTTCAAACATTAGAAACGTTTATAAATAAAACACTGTCATGAACAGACCAAAAACTTTCAATAAGACACGAGAAGCAGGAAAGTCTCAAATCAATAAAGACCTAGATGCTTGATTTTTAAAATCTACATTCCATCTTCCAGTAAGTACATTTGCAATTTCATCTCCTGTCCTGAAACTGATTCATTCATTCAATAAAGATTTACTGAGTGAATACAGATGTAGGAAATACAACCAATATTTATGGAATCAACAAACCCTAGTAACCGGGAATTTCTGCAAGGAGGCTTTTCTTTGTTAAGTTTCTGCTCAGACAGAAGAGAAGCACTTTTTTTTTTGGTGGGGGGTATGAGCAGACAGCTGTGAACAAAAGAATTGAGGGTCAGAAATAAACCCACACCCAGGGGTGCCTGGGTGGCTCAGTGGGTTAAACCTCTGCCTTCGGCTCAGGTCATGATCCCAGGGTCCTGGGATCGAGCCCTGCATCGGGCTCTCTGCTCAGCAGGGAGCCTGCTTCCCCCTCTCTCTCTGCCTGCCTCTCTGCCTACTTGTGATCTCTGTCAAATAAATAAATAAAATCTTTAAAAAAAAAAAAAGAAAGAAAGAAACCCACACCCATATGGTCATTAATCTATGACAAAGGAGGCAAGAATATGCAATGGGGAAAAGAGTCTTTTCAGTAAATGGTGCTAGAAAAATTTAATAGCTACATGTAAAAGAATGAAACTAGACCATTTTCTTACACCATACACAAAAATATCCTCAGAATGAATTAAAGACATATATGAGAGACCTGAAACCATTAAACTCCTAAAAGTAAACATAGGCAAAATCTCTTGGACACTCCCCTTAGCAACATATTTATGGATATGTCTCCCCAGGCAAGGGAAATAAAAGCAAACATAAACCATTGGGACTACACCAAAATAAGAAGCTCTTACACAGCAAAGGAAACCATCAACAAAACAAAAAGGCAATCTAATGAATAGGAGAAGATATCTGAAAATGAGATGTCTATGAGGGGTTAATATCCAAATATATAGAATTTATGTAATTCAACACCAAAAACACAAACAATCCAATTAAAAATGGATCAGAAGCCATACACATTGCTGACAGATACGCAACATCACTCATCATCAGGGAAATGTAAATCAAAACCACAATATCACCTCATGCCAGTCAGAATGCCTAGTATCAGAAAGGTTAGGATGAGGCACCTGGATGGCTCAGTCTGTTGGGCATCTGTCTTCTGGTCAGGTCATGATCCTGGGATTGAGCCCCACATTGGCTCCCTGGTCACGGGGAGCTTTGTTTCTTCTCCTCCCCGCTCATGCTTTCTCTCTGGCTGTTTCTCCCCCCCCTCAAATAAATAAAGAAATAAAATCTTAAAAGGAAAAAAAAAAAAGAAGATAAGGACTAACAAGTGTTGGTAAGAATCTGGAGAAAAAGGAACTCTTGTACACTGCTGGTGGGATTATAAATTGGTACAACTACTGTGGAAAACTGTATGGAGGTTCCTCAAAAAATTAAAAACAGAAATACCGGGCCGCCTGGGTGGCTCAGTGGGTTAAGCCTCTGCCTTCGGCTCAGGTCATGGTCTCAGGGTCCTGGGATCGAACCCTACATTGGGCTCTCTGCTGAGCAGAGAGCATGCTTCCCCCTCTCTCTCTGTCTGCCTCTCCGCCTACTTGTGATCTCTGTCTGTTAAATAAATAAAAAATATTAAAAAAAACAAACAAACAACCAGAAATACCATGATCGAGCAATTCTACAACTAGGTTTTTATCCAAAGAAGAAAAAAACACTAATTCCAAAGATACATGCACCCTATGCTTGTTGCAGCATTATTTACAACAGCCAAGATATGGAAACAACTCAAGAGTCCAAACAGATGAATGAATATGTGGTATGTATATATATATATACATATACACACACAATGGAATATTACTTAGCCACAAAAAGAATGAGACTCTGTGGAGAGCCCAGGTGGCTCAGCGGGTTGGGCGACTGCTTTTGGCTAGGTCATGACCCTGGAGGCCCGCGACTGAGTCCTGCATTGGGCTCCCTGGTCAGTGGGGAGTCTACTTCTCTCTCTGACCCTCCCCCCATCATGTCCTCTCTCTCTCAAATAAATAAATAAAATTCTTTAAAAAAAAGAAAAAGGAAAAGAAAAAATAATGAGACCTTGCCATTTGTAACTATATGGATGGACCTAGTGGGTATTGTGCTAAGTGAAGTAAGTCTGACAGAGAAAGGCAAATACTGTATGATTTCACTTTTATGTGGAATCTAAGGAACAAAACAAATGAATCAACAAGCAAGCAAAAAACCAAAGAGACTCTTAAATACAGAGGACAAACTGGTGGATGCCATAAGGGAAGTGGGCAGGGAGATGGATGAACCAGGTGAAGGGGATTAAAAGGTACTAATTTCCAGTTACAAAATAAGTCATGGAGATGAAAAGGACAGCACAGAGAATATAGTCAATAATACTACTACAATAACGATATATGGTGACAGTCTACACTTATTGTGGTGAGCACTGAGTAATGTATAGAGTTGTCAAATCAATATGCTATACACCTCAAACTAATGTAACACTGTTAATTCAGCTCAGTAAAATACAAAAAATAATCAAGGATCAGAAAATTGTGACAATAAAACCAAAACTGAGCCCCTGATCAATCAGGAAATAACCTGAGTACAACGTTAAACCCTGTTATGTATGCCAAGGCACAAGAGACAGCAATATGAGCTGGTGACAGAAGAGTTGGGTGGTCACTGCTGGTTGAAGATTATTAGAGAATCAAAGGCAGTCTGGAAGAAGGTCTCTGCTGCCAGCTTTAGCCTATTAAGCATTTTTGTCAACATATGAATGAACCCCTGGGAGGAGTGCTTATTAAATCTCTAGATAAGGCTGAAAGGGATCCTAGAAGAATTACAAATGAAGATAAATAAGTATACTTGTGGCCCTAATAACAGTCTACTAGATATTTACTGCAGACAAAAAAAAAAAACGTTTTCAACTGGGTTTGAAAAATTACCTACACAAAAACAGAAAAGGCAGAGACTGGGATCCATACAAATTCGTACAAAAAAGACCTGGGTGAGTTAGCTGAGAAAAAGCACAATATTCATCAAGAGCTAAATATGGGGGCGCCTGGGTGGCTCAGTGGGTTAAGCCTCTGCCTTCAGCTCAGGTCATGATCTTAGGGTCCTGAGATGAAGCCCAACATCGGGCTCTCTGCTAGGCAGGAAGCCTGTTTCCCCCTCTCTCTCTGCCTGCCTCTCTGCCTACTTGTGATCTCTCTCTGTCAAATAAATAAATAAAATCTAAAAAAAAAAAAAAGTGCTAAATATGGTCCACAAAGGGACTCTCCCACACCATAGTCTATACTGCTAAGACCAAATGGACAGTATATACTTCACTCCTGCCTTATCTCAAATGGATCTGGGGTAGCATATAAAGATATATGAAATATAACAAAGGAATATCAATTTAAAGATGTGAAAAGTAGAACAATGGCAGAGATATAGAGTAAATTATAGCTAAAAAAAAGTACACTATAAAGACAAACATTAGGTCTGTTACCCAGGGTTCCCAAGATAAAAAGATCAATCATCTTTGAGGAAGAACAACTAGTCTTGGAACTAAGGCCAGACAGGAATTTCTCCCAAGAGGACCCATAAAGAGGACAGTTAAGTGATATACAGCACAGTTCCTTACACGAAATCCTCATAGCACACAACATAAAACATTTCATAGAGCTGTTACTTATTTTAACTGCCAACATCGATCAACAGCATCACACCAAAGTAAAATTTAATAAAATAAAACTCTATAGGGCACCAATACATGGAAGCCCACGATCCCTGCAGGTCAGGGGCTAGTGTAAAAACAGAAGAATCACACAGCATGTGTTTCTTCGTGGCTCACTTCTCTCACATAGCACTGCGTTTTGGAGATTCACCCACTTCACAGCATGTATCAATATTACATTCCTTTTCATGGCTGAATAATAATCTGCCTTATGGTTACATTTGTTTATCCATTCGTCAGGTGAAAGACATTTTTTCGTCTTGTTTGTTTTAAAGATTTTATTTATTTGAAAGAGTGACAGAGATAATGAGAGAAGAGCATGAGGACAGAGGGAGAGGGAGAAGCAGACTCCCTGCCGAGTAGGGACCTGACATGGGGCTCAATACCAGAACCCCAGGGGTCATGACCTGAACCAAAGGCAGACACTTCACCCATGGAGCCACCTAGGCGCCCCAGGTGATAGACATCTGAATTGTTTCCACATTTTGATTATGATGAATAGTACTGCTATGCACATGCATTTACAAGTTTTGTACAGACACATACTTCCCTTTTGGTTATATGACTAGGAGTAGAAATGCTGGGTCATATGGTACAATTCTACATTTAACCTTTTAAGAAACTACCAGACTGTTTTCTAAAGTGGTTATACTATATTACTCTTATTGTGGTTTTAATTTACATTTCCTTAGTATTTAAAGGTTTTAAGCAACTTTCACATGTCTATTAGTTATATATATATATATATATATATATATATATATATATATATATTTTAAAGATTTTACTTATTTCAGAGAGAGACAGAGAGCACGAGCTGGGGGAAGGGTAGAGAAAGAGGGAGACACAGACTCCCCGCTGAGCAGGGAGCCCAGTGTGGGTCTCAATCCTAGGACCCTGATATCATGACCTGAGCTGAAGGCAGACGCTTAACTGACTGAGCCCCCAAGGCGCCCCTATATGTTTTCTTTTGAGACATATCTGTTCAAGTCTTTGTTCATTGTTTAAGTTGTTCCTATTTTTTTTGTTGTTTCATAGGAGTAATTCAAATATTCTGGATAAAATCTGCGAGTGATCTGTTCATTTTGTTAATGGTATCTTTTGATGAATAGAAATTTTAAATTTTGATTAAAGCTCAATGTATCAGGATCCCTGGGTGGCTCAGTCATTAAGCATCTGCCTTCAGCTCAGGTCATAATCCCAGGGTCCTGGGATCAAGCATCACATCAGGCTCCTTGCTCCGCGGGAAGCCTGCTTCTCCCTCTCCCACTCCCCTGCTTATATTCCCTCTTTTGCTGTCTCTCTCCATCAAATAAAATTAAAAAAAAAAAAAAAATGAAGTTTAATGTACCAGTTTTTTCTTTTATGGTTAGTATTTTTGTTTCTCTGTCCAAGAAATCTTTACCTAACCCCAAAGTTGTGAAAATATTCTCTTATAGTTTATTCTGGAAGCTTTGTGTTTCTGGGTTTTTACATTTAAGTCTTTGATCCACGTAGAATTCATTTTTGTGTAAAGAATAAGACAGAGGTTGAGGGTTTTTTTCTGTTTGTTTTTAGTTATTTAATTGACAGAGAGACAGACAGTGAGAGAGGGAACACAAGCAGGGGGGAGTGGGAAAGGGAGAAACAGGCTTCCTGCCAAGCAGGCAGCCCGATGTGGGCCTTGATCCCAGTACCCTGGGATCGTGACATGACCTGAGCTGAAGGCCGATGCTTAAAGACTTAACCACCCAGGTGCCCCAAGAGGTTTGTTTTTTCTTATGTATACATCCAGTTGTTCTAGCAACATCTGTAAAAAGACTCCTTTTCCCACTGAATTAACATTGTGGTTGAAAATCAACTGACTATACATATGTGGGTCTATTTCTGGACTTTATTTTCTTCCATTTATCTACTGAGATACCAATAACACCAATAACTGCACTGTCATGATTACTGTAACTTTATAAGTCTTGAAATCAGATAGTTTAAGTCTTTCAACTTCATTCTTTCTCAAGACTTTTTTGGCCTTTCTAGATCCTTTTTTCTTCTTTTTCTCTTTTTAAAGTAGGCTTCATGCCCACTATCGAGCCTAAGACGGGCTCTCTCTCAAACCTGAGATCAAGACCTGAGCTGAGCTCAACACTAGGGGCGCCTGGGTGGCTCAGTCGTAAAGCGTCTACCTTTGGCTTAGGTCATGAACCCAGGGTCCTGGGATTGAGCCCCATGCTGGGCTCCCTGCTAGGTGGAAAGCCTGCTTCTCCCTCATCCACTCCCCCTGCTTGTGTTCCCTCTCTTGCTGTCAAATAAATAAAATCTTAAAAACAAACAAAAAAGAGTCAAACACTAAACCAATTGAGCTACCTAGGTACCCCTCTAGATCTTTTTCAAGAAGTTTCTTTTTGGGCGCCTGGGTGGCTCAGTAGGTTAAGCCTCTGCCTTCGGCTCAGGTCATGATCTCAGGGTCCTGGGATCGAGTCCCGCATCCATGGGGGATCTCCCTCTCTCTGCCTGCCTCTCTGCCTACTTGTGATCTCTGTCTGTCGAATAAATAAATAAAATCTAAAAAAAAAAAAAGTTTCTTTTTAAAATAATTTCCCAAAAACTTACTTTTATTTTTATTTTTTTAGATTTTTTTTTAAAGATTTTATTTATTTATTTGACAGAGATCACAAGTAGGCAGAGAGGCAAGGCAGAGAGAGAGGAGGAAGCAGGCTACCCCGCAGAGCAGACAGCCCAATGTGGGGCTCGATCCCAGGATCCTGGGATCATGACCTGAGCTGAAGGCAGAGGCTTTAACCCATTGAGCCACCCAGGCACCCCTATTTTTATTTATTTTTTAAGATTTTATTTATTTATTTGACACACAGAGATCACAAGGAGGCAGAGCAGCAGGCAGAGAAAGAGAGAGAGGGAAATAGGCTCCCTGCTGAGCAGAGAGCCTGATGCAGGGCTCGATCCCAGGACCCTGGGACCATGACCTGAGCTGAAGGCAGAGGCTTAACCCTCCGAGCCACCCAGCAACCTCCCCCAAACAGTTACTTTTAAACAGCATTTCAAAATCTACTGTCCAAATTCCATAGGACAAAGGCCTATACTGGTATTATGAAACTAAACACTGAACTTAAACAATACAACTAAACACTGAAACCATCTAAGCATTAATGTATCTCCACTTTTCTCCACCCAGGGTACAGTAGAGGCCTTGTAACTATAGGCTTGGGGCCAATCTATGTCATCAAGAAAACTATAAATAAGATTCTAGAAAATACACAAATATCGCTGGCTAGTGTGCCCACCACTTACCCTGGTTCAATATGATCCGACAAGGCTGGCATTGACCCCCATGGCACAGCTCAGCACAGTGGTGCTGGCCACAATTCAAAAGATTCTCACATGGATTGGAACAGTGGACTGAAGCGGCCTGACCACAGCGAACTGTGTGCCTGGAAAGAAAACAGATGTACAGACAGTGTTGGTCTGATGCTGGACAAGTTTCTACTGGATAGCTAAACTAACAATGAAGCCCAAAGTTTACCTCCCAAAACTATGAAACCTTTCTCTTGACCCCATTTCCCTCACTTTTCTGTTTACCTCCTTTAATCTTTATTTCCTTAATAACTCTTCTCCCCTCCACTCTTTCTTCTTCTGCTTTGCTTTCCTTATTTCCCATCCTGACTTTCTTTCCTCCTATATTCTGACCAGTGAAGAAATGAATTTCCTCTCTGTACATTTCTTCACTGAGTTCCCATGAAGTAGCATACAGGAGGGAAAAGAGCCAGGAGTTCCCACAGTATCTTATAGATGGAAGTAGGAAAGCTGGGGGCGGGATGGAGTGGTGAAGGGTTAGTTTTAATGTATACACTAAGACTGGAAGTACAACGGCATTCTCCTGGGCTTTGGTACTCCAGCATTTTGTGTAGTTATAATACTTAAGAACTATACTGTATATGACTTTGATTCAGGATGGGAAAATCATTCTGGCTTTGTTCCAATAAGCATCCTAATTTAATTTTGCTGACTTTCTGGCTAGAGAAGATTTTTGGACAACTATCTTCAGGTTTCTTTCCAAGGTAGGGGTTTAGAGCTTGGAGTCTACTCTCCTACAAGAAAAGTTTTATTCTATACCCTACTTTCATCTCAAGTACGTATTTTGTTTTAAAAAGTCATTGTTACATACACAGATGATGTTTCCAGTGCTCAGCATCATGGCTAACATCAACCCCTGGAGGTGTACACTATTATTTCTATTCTGTGATTTAAAAAATGAGGCTTGGGCGCCTGGGTGGCTCCATGGGTTGAGCGTCTGCCTTCGGCTCCGGTCATGATCTTGGGGTCCTGGGACTGAGCCCTGCATTGGGCTCTCTGCTCAGCGGAGAGCCTGCTTCTCCCTCTCTCTCTGCCTGTCTGTCTCTCTGCCTACTTGTGATTTCTCTCTTTGTAAATAAATAATCTTAAAAAAAAAAAAAAAGAAAGAAAGAAAAATGAGGCTCAGGGAGACTAAGCAACTTGCCCAGGTCAACAGCTAATTAGTGGCACAGCCCAGATACAACCTGGTCTTTCTGACCCAGAGCCCTTACATGTGATTCTCAGGCCACACTACTGTCCTTGTAAGTTCAGACAAATGTGATTCACTGATAATTGGCTGAATCCCATTTTGTCTTGTGGTTCAGAAATCGTATGGGTCTTACCGGGCCTCAGAAACATTCCATAACTATCAGTGATCCTTGCCCTGATGACGGAGAACTTGTATTATAATGAAAAGAGGATGGGCTCTGGGGTTACTTATTCGTTCATTTAACAATATTCATAGAAAACCTCGTTGGTGCCAGATATAATGCTAGGTACAAATAAATGGTCCCTGTCTCCTGAACCTTAATAGATCTGGATTTATTGTTTTTTCATTATTATTATTTTTAAAGATTTTATTTATTTATTTGACAGAGAGAGAGAGAGAGAGGTCACAAGTAAGCAGAGAGGCAGGCAGAGAGAGAGGGGGAAGCAGGCTCCCTGCTGAGCAGAGAGCCTGCTGCGGGCCTTGATCCCAGGACCCTAAAATCATGACCTGAGCCGAAGGCAGAGGCTTAACCCACTGAGCCACCCAGGCGCCCAACAGGTCTGAGTTTAATCCTGATTCTTTTATACACAGACAAATTGAGAAAAAAGTTCCTGTCATCTTGGCATTCAACTGAAATAGGTAATCTCACTATGCAAATAACTTCTTAATCACCTATAAGACTGCAAAGAACTAGGGCAGCAGAGTAAACTAATATTTACAAAAAAGTACTATTTAAGAGTGCGTATGTGGCTCAGATGGTTGGGCGTCTGTCTTCAGCTTGGGTTGTGATCTCCAGGTCCTGGGATTGAGTCCCATGTCAAGTTCCCAGCTCAGTGGGGAGTCTGCTTCTCCCTATCCCTCTGCCTCTCCCCACTTGTGCTCTCTCTCTCAAATGAATAAATAAAATCTAAAAAAAAAAAAGTACTATTTATACCTACCACTTATTTATATCTACCTACTAATTCTTACTTTAGAAATTCACACATAAATCATCAATGTGAAAACTGAAGTCTTTAGAGAGCAGTTCTAATTTTACCTGGTTCGTCCACATTCGCATGTTTTAGTCATAAAGGCAGGGCAGGGTGGGCAAGGTCCAGGATGGCAGAGACTAAAAGAGAAAGGCTTAGATTAGTAAATCATACTCATGTATCCAAACCTGAACAAAGTTGCTCCTACTGGGTCTTATTGGGAATGTGCCAACAAATAAATCTACCATGAATGTTTTAGTATTTGCCTAAAGTTGATTAAGCTATTTAAATGGAAATATCAGGGGTGCCTGGGTGGCTCAGTGGGTTAAAGCTTCTGCCTTAGGCTCAAGTCATGATCTCAGGGTCCTGGGATCGAGCCCCACATCGGGCTCTCTCCTCCTCAGAGAGCCTACTTCCTCCCTCTCTCTCTGCCTGCCTCTCTGCCTACTGGTGATCTCTGTCTGTCAAATAAACAAATAAAAAATCTTTAAAAATAAATAAATAAAATAAATGGAAATATCAACAATGTTTTCATATAGGAAGAACTGGTGGCATTATCATCTTAGAATATTTAACCAGGGGGTGCCTGGGTGGCTCAGAGGGTTAAGCCTCTGCCTTCAGCTCAAGTCATGATCTCAGGGTCCTGGGATCGAGGCCCGCATTGGGCTCTCTGCTCAGTGGTGAGCCTGCTTCCCCCTCCGGCCTTGGCCTGCCCCTCTGCCTACTTGTGATCTCTCTGTGTCAAATAAATAAATAAAATCTTAAAAAAAAAAAAAAAAAAGAATATTTAACCAGAAAAATAAAGCCCAAGTCAAAATACTGGTTTTATTTGGTTCTGACATTCAAAGATGACATTTCCAAATAGGGTCTTAGCCCATTTAGTGAGATGTTTTAGGGCCTCCTTTCCCTTCAGACATGGTGTTGACCACCTAATCTGCATAACTTTAGATGTTCTCTGGTAGTCATGACAGTAGGCCATTTCTGCAAAAGAGTTCAGAAAGAGGGTTCATGCACAGGGATAATTTATTATTGAATATACCTAAAATGCCAACTGAAGGAAGGAACAGTTTAAACAGATGAGTCCCTGGGTTTTAAGGAAGGACCCATGGAAGGAGTAAAAGAACAGGCAGCAGGCCAGGCTGTGTAACCCTGTCTGGGCATCTCTCCTATCACAGGCAATTCCCTAGCACGTCCCCCACATCCTGACCCACAAGGCCTCTGGCCCAACATTTAACCCTGCTCTGAGCAGGAGAAGCACCAAGGTAACACTTTGACTCTGTTTTACTTTTAGATTTGGGTAATAAAAACAAGTTACCATTACTTGACCATTTACCATATGCCAGATTCTGTACCAAGTCTCTTAGATGCATTAATTTAATATTCATAGAACTCTGTAAGTACTGATGCTCATATCATTATTATTTTTCAGATGCAGAAAGTGAGGCTTAGAGAAATTAAGTAACTAGCCCAAGGCCACACAACTGTTAAGCGACTTGACCCCAGGAGTTAAACATTGGTCTGAAGTCAAAGCTGTAGAAATTTGTCCTTTGTAGCTAATGAATTGTTAGTATTGGGTATTCCTCTTCTTATTTAGAAGCTGACTACCTACACTGTAAAGCTGGCTATTTATTGGATAGAAGGGATTCACGACCTAAAAACACTGTGCAACAGGACCCTACACAATTGCCTTTTCAGGACAGAAGTCTGTCCTATTCCCTCTTTTGAACCTAGATATCACTGGGGGATATTTCTTCTTAAAAGCCAGCAGTATACTGCCATGGAAATCCCGTCTCCACCATGTCCTAGCACTATGACTTTGGGCAAGATACTTGGCCTTTCTGAGCCTCATCGGTAAAATGGAGATGATAAATATTTATACATAACCAGGGTGTTGTAAGGATTCAATGACTTAACTTTTTTTTTTTTTTTAAGATTTTATTTATTTATTTGACAGACAGAGATCACTAGTAGGCAGAGAAGCAGGCAGGGAGAGAGGAGGAAGCAGCCTCTGCTGAGCAGAGAGCCCGATGCGGGGCTCGATCCCAGGACCCGGGGATCATGACCTGAGCAGAAGGCAGAAGCTTTAACCCACTGAGCCACCCAGGCTCCCCTCAATGAGTTAACTCTTACAGAGTGCCTGGCCCAGTGTTAAGTGTTCAGTAAATGGTACCATACTGCCCTTCACCCCATCCTGCTACACGCTAACCAAAAGATATAGGTACTCAGAGCCACGAGCAAAGTGTGTCTACCAGGAATCCCCAGGGGTCTAGTGTTCCAACTTACAGGTTACAGGAATGCGGGCAGTCCTGGCCAGGCTGTTTCTTTCTACAAACCTCACCACAACTATGTGGAATTTCATTTCTGCTCCATTCAGGGTTCTTCACCTTGCCTAAAACATACCAGATCAGAGAGTCAATGGTATAAACTTCAACTGCATCTTAGACTTTAATGAAACAACACAATATAGCTAGATAGCATGAACTTTAGTGTGGTTTTCATTAGTGTGACAAACATATCACCCCACATCCTAAAATAAAAAGATGACTGTAATGCTACTCATCAAAAGCTTCACTGAAAACAAAAAACAAAAACCAAAAGCTTCACTGAGCATGATAAATCCTAAATTCTGGATTACCTGGAAAAGAGAAATAAGTCATCTTTACTTTGACTAACTTTGACTAACAGACATATTTAATCTAAAACAAAAAACCCCACAACTTTTGTAAATGGACCCGTGAATAGATATGGGAACATCTGCCATAAGGATTTGAGAGAAGAAATAAGGGAAAAAAAAAAAAAGAAGAAGAAAGAAGAAATAAGGGAAGAGAACAATGGGGTGGGAGATGGGGCAGCACTAAGAGATAGAAAGGACAAAAATCCCCTATACAGCAGGAACTTGCCAAATCTAAAGCTATGAAGTAGGCATAAGAGGGCTATAATTTTACAATTAGTTTGCATCTGGAAATCTTTTTTTTTTTTTTTAAAGATTTTATTTATTTATTTGGCAGAGAGAGACAGAGATCACAAGTAGCAGAGAGGCAGAGAGAGGGAGGGGGAAGCAGGCTCCCTGCTGATCAGAGAGCCTGACGCGGGGCTCGATCCCAGGACTCTGGAACCATGACCGGAGCCGAAGGCAGACGCTCAACTGACTGAGCCACCCAGGCGCCCCGTGTATCTGGAAATCTTTAGTGACTTCTATGAACTTAGCACAGAGGCAGGAAGTGTAAAACTGAGGCAAGGGACTCCTCCATGCCCTTGAGGAACTCATCTTTACTTGGGCAATTTACACCCAAATGATGGCCTGTCCCCAGTGTTTGGCCTCTGCTGCTCTATCTTGTTTCTTTCAGAAGCTTTATTCATGTTGAGAGGTTTGTTATACCTAAAGGCCTATAAGTCCCAAATCTACATTTTTTTTCTTTTTCCTTTTACCCCCCCAAATCTACACTTTGTGCACTGCCCTGAATCCTCAGTTCCGGCCCTCTCTGTCCAAACATCTGCTGAACATCTCTGTGTGAGGTATCACAGTCACCCCAAACTGTCTACATTTACAGTCAAAGTTAGTATCTTCTCTCTGAAGCCTCTCCTTCTTCAGTGTTCTCTATTTGTCAGCAATACCATCACTGTTAGAGTCACAGACTTAAAAACTAGAGTCATCCCCAACTCCTCTCTTTCTTTCCATAATCTACTTAATCACCAAATTTTCTTAATTTCCCTACACAGTGTATCTCACACCTCATCTCCCTTGCTACTTTTACTCTTGTCTATTTGCCAGACTCATCTCCAGTCTATTACAAAAACTTCCCTACGGGGCGCCTGGGTGGCTCAGTGGGTTAATAAGCCTCTGCCTTCGGCTCAGGTCATGATCTCAGGGTCTGGGATTGAGTCCCTCATCGGGCTCTCTGCTCAGCAGGGAGCCTGCTTCCTCCTCTCTCTCTCTGCCTACTTGTGATCTCTGTCAAATAAATTAGTAAAATCTTAAAAAAAAAGAAAAAAAGAGAAAGAAAAAGAAAAACTTCCCTGCTTCTGTGCTTTCTTGCTTTAATACAGTGCCCTGGTTTCCCCCTACCATCTTTCAATGGCTCCACCTCTTTTCCCTGACTCTAAATAATGTTTTGTTTTTCTTCTTTCTGCCAGGGTTCTGCATTAGGCTCTTTTCACTCCTTACCCTTCTTCTATCCACTACTCTCAACAACAACTATCATCCCTAAGTCCTCATCTCTCTTTAAATATTCCTAACTCCCAGGGAACCTGGGTGGCTCAGTCAGTTAAATGTCTGCCTTCAGCTGGGGTCATGATCTCAGGGTCTTGGGATCAAGCCCCGTATCAAGCTCCCTGCTTAGTGGGGAGTCTGCTTCTCTTTCTCCATCTGCTTCTCCCCCAGCTCATGCTTTCTCTCTCAAGTAAAAAAAAAAAAAAAAAAAAAAAAAAATCTTTAAATTTTCCTAACACCACCTCTTACTGGAGGCCTTGTTCACTCAACCCATTCAACGTTTATAAATTGAACTCACTGTCCCCGTCAGTCCTGGTGCTCTGACCTGCCTTTTTCTGTCCTTGGTATCATCATTTTCAAAAGCATGAAACTTTGGAGCCACATTTGGGTTCTTCCCTTTCCCACTGTTATTAATTCCTATTTACCTTTGAAATCTGGTACCCCCTTCCTTTCTCTCCCACTCTAATATACATTATAGACTTTTATTATTTTTCACCTGGGTTCTTACAAAACCCCCAATGTTTAGGCCCCCAAACACTCTATTCCCTCCCACCAGACTAATCTTTATAAAAAATCACACTGACACCCTCAGTGGCTTCCCACTGCCTGCCAAATGAAGTCCCTGCATCTAAGCCTGGCATCAAGAAGTCAGCCCTGGTGCACCAGGGTGGCTCAGTTGGTTAACCATCTGACTCTTGATTTCGGCTCAGGTTATAACCTCAGGGTTTTAAGATCCAGCCCCACAATGGACTCTGTGCTGGGTGTAAAGTCTGCTTAAGATTCTCTCTTTCCCTCTGTTTCTGCCACCCTGCTGCCCTTGTATGTGCACACGGGATCTCTCTCTCTCTCCCAAAAAAAACAAAACAAAACAAATAAACAAAAAACCAGTCAGCCCTGCCTTTCTAGTCATTTCCCATGCCTTCACCTTTACAGATCCTGGGTTCCATAACCAATGATTCTCGTTCTCCTAAAAGATCCTAAGCCTTCTTGTTTTTAAACTTCTGCTTATGCTACTCACCTCAACAAATCTTTCTCCTACCAAGATTTTACCTAGTTTTCAAGCTCAGTTGAATTGTACCTCCTTTTTTAAGGATTCTCTAAATCATCTAGCCCAAAGTGAGAATTCACCCCAAAGATATCCCACAGTTCTTTGGACTTACAGAACATGAAGTTAATTGTGTCTTAGCTCTTAGACTGTAAACTCTGGGAAGTCAAAAGCAGTCTTATTCCCCTGTTTCTTCATAATGTCTGCTACTAAGTTCTCAATAAAGTATATTATATTAATGGTCTCCCCAAAGAGCAAGGTGACGCAAAGTCATTAGGTAAATATAAGACCATTATTTGCATTCCTACACCATTTTACCTTACTCAGATCACCTTGACCTTCAGCCCTCATCTTCTACCTTCTTAAGGCCTCATATCTAATTTGTCAGTGAAGGCTTTAACAAGATTTTTAATTCCAGTGTGGTGCTTTTATGTTTAAAAATCCTTTAAAATAAGGTAATTAAGCCTTGGTATTGGTCCAATTTGTATAGATTTACATGGATTTCTTGTTCCCAGCTTCATGTTGCCTTTCCAACAGTACATTCCAAAATATTCATCCCTTCAACAAATATTATTTTAGTATCTTTTAAGGCTCAGATTTTGGCAATAAAAGATCAGATTTATTTGGCAATAAAAGATCAGCAAATTCCAAATAAAAGAGTGGCTAAAGTGGGAGAGGGGATAAGAAAGGGAGGCCTCCTTTGGAAAACAATGTTTGGGGTCTGATGTTGAACAGATGAGTCAGTGATGGAGATTTAAAGATGGGAAAGAATATTCTAGATAGTTGAGTTCACCAAGAGACTGAGTCTAGAAGTTGAAGACTTCATGACCAACTTTTAGTGAAATGCTAGTTAAGTAATGGGAAAGAAGAAATAGGAGCAAATTAAAGCTTACAGAAATAAACAGGAAGAGCTAGTCATTTCAGGAAAGGAATGGCTAAAAGCTCCAAGAGCTTCTGTGCTGCCAAAAAGGTTAAGAACTTATAAATCAGCCCTGGATTTGTCAGGAAGGAGCCACTGATGATTTCTGAAAACAGGTGCAGCAAGGTGAGGAGGACAGAAGCAAAAATGCGATGGTCAAGAAGGGTGACAGATGGTTAAGAAGCAAAATTTGAAAAAAATCAAGAACTATATGAAGGTTAGCCATTAAAAGACAGGAAAGGAAAAAAAATACACATAAAAGAAAAGACATGCAGAAAACAGACTAGCAGCAAGAATGGGCATCTAGACTGCAGAATGTTCTCCCTAACACATAGGGGAATTGAGTTATTTAAAAACAGGAAGAAGTATTCCATAAAGAGGGAGGACAGAGTTTGTAATGTAAAAATGTAAAAAGAAAATTTTTATTTTAAAGACCCCAATGACTGATTTTCCAGGTTAAAATATTTTTCAACACCACTCTTTCCTCATACTGTTCAAATCTGGAGTATCAAAACTGTTACAGTTAAGGGTGAGAAAGAGCCCATGTCTAAGCCTGCCTCCACCATCTGATCAGCTCTGGTCTAAAGGTAAGATCAAGGAGACCAGAACCACAGCTCAGAAGTTGCATTAGCCTGGTGGGCATGATGAGAAGGCCAGGTCCAGAACAGCTTGACAAGAGCACAAAGGCCTTTGACTCTGGCTGTGTGATGGACCACAGGCAGATGATGTCGGTAGACTCCTGAACTTTTAAGTCTTATTAGGAACTTCTAAAACATGCCTGGCACATCACTTCTTCTGGGCTGGAAAATGAGTTACAATGCATGAAGTGGATGAGACTGAAGTGAAAGCAAAAAACTCACCACAGAAACAAGTGTAAGTATTAGGAACATGTGCAGAAACATTCTGACAGGCAGGACATCTCCAACCACTTTGGCCATCTGTCAAGAAAGACAAGAGGAAATCACAATAATTTCCTTACAAAAGCACATGTAATTTTTAAAAATTTAAACCTAAAAGAAGCCTTAATATTTAAGCAACAGTAGTCATTTTATGTTAAAAATATCAGATATTAAGGATATCAGGATTTTTTTTTAAAGATTTTATTTATTTATTTGACAGACAGAGATCACAAGTAGGCAGAAAGCAAGCACAGAGAGAGAGAGAGAGGGAAGCAGGCTCCCCACTGAGTGGAGAGCTCAATGCAGGGCTCAATCCCAGGACCCTGAGATCATGACCTGAGCTGAAGGCAGAGGCTTAACCCACTGAGCCACCCAAGCGCCCCAAGGATATCAGGATATTAAGAAACAAATTCACAATACTGAATGCTCTGCTTAAATATTATATTTGGGCTTATATTTATAAGGGCTTTAAATATAGTAATCAAACAGGTACCCATTTTTTAAATGTCAGTTGAGATATAATTGACATATAACACTAAGGTGTACAACATTCTGGCTTGATACATTTATATACTATAATAAGATTATCATAGTCACATTAGCTAACACCTCAATCACCTCACATGATTATCAATTTATTATGTGGTTCTACTGCTGAGATAAACACTGAACTAAATCTTGGCTTGAAAAAACAAAAGGATAAAATATTTGAGCGAAGGGGTGTTTGGGTGGCTCAGTGGGTTAAAGCCTCTGCCTTCAGCTCAGATCATGATCCCAGGGTCCTGGGATTGAGCCCCGCTTTGGGCTCCCTGCTCCTCGAACAGCCTGCTTCCTCCTCTCTCTCTGCCTGCCTCTCTGCCTACTTGTGATCTCTGTTAAATAAATAAATAAAATCTTCCAAAAAAATAATTTGAGTACATTCAGGAAAACCCAAATGTCTTCTTTTTTTAAGACTTAAATCATCTCTACACCCAACACAGGGCTCAAATCCACAACTCTGAGATCAAGAGTTGTATGCTCTACCGACTGAGCCAGCCAGGTGCCCTCAGATGTTTTAAATTAGAAGAGTCACAGATCAGAAAACAAATGTTATTTTTTCTTAAAAGGAAATTTTAAAAGATTTTATTTATTTATTTAAAAAGCTTTTATTATTCACGAGAGAGAGAGTGTGTGTGCAGGAGCAAGCAGAGAGGCAGACGGAGAGGAACAAGCAGACTCCTGGCTAAGTGGAGTGCCTAAGGCAGGGCAACATTCCAGGATCCAGAGATCATGACCCCAGCCAAAGTCTGAGGTTTAACAGAATGCGCTACCCAAGTGCCCCTATTTTATTTATTTTAGAGAAAGAGAGAGAGCATGAGCTCACGGGGCTGGGGGCAGGGGAGGCGGGAGGAAACACAAAGGGGGCCAGAGTGGCAGAGAGATAATCTTTCATCCAGACTCTACACTGAACACAGAGGCTCAGCTCTTCAGGGCTCAGATCTCATAACCCATGAGATCATGACCTAAGCCGAAATCACAAGTTGCCTGTTTAACCAAATGAGTCGACCAGGCACCCCAGCAACTGCTTTCTATAAATTTCAAAAGCAAGCTATACAGGCAATGTTTTCTGTAATTGATACCTGGATAAAAGTTACCATTTTCAATAAATGTGACTGATTTTTTTGTATTCCAAATATACTTTGGTATTGTCAGGTTAAGCTGTTTTTAAAAATTTCCTTCTTTAGGGGTGCCTGGGTGGCTCAGTTGGTTGGGCAACTGCCTTCAGCTCGGATCATGATCCTGGAGTCTCGGGACTGAGTCCCACACTGGACTCCCTGCTCAGCGGGGAGTCTGCTTCTCCCTCCGACCTCTCCCCTCTCATGCTCTCTCATTCCCTCTCTCAAATAAATAAAATCTTAAATAAATAAACACATAGATACATAAATTTCTTTCTTTAAAAAATTTTATTTTGGGGTGCCCAGGTGGTTCAGTTGGTTAAGTGACTGCCTTCAGCTCAGGTCATGATCCTAGAGTCCTAGGATCAAGTCCCACATCAGGCTCCCTGCTCGGCAGGGAATCTGCTTCTACCTCTGATCCTCCCTCTTCTCATGTTCTCTTTCTCGCGCAAATAAATAAAACCTTAAAAAAAATTTATTTTATTTTATTTTCACTTTTTAAGCTCTATGCTCAACATGGGGCTTGAACTCACACCACTGAGATCAAGAGTTACATGCTCTACCAACTGAGCCAATCAGGTGCCCCTTAGTTCTTTATTTAATATCTACAGCTTCATACTAGTCATCTGAAACATGTGTTCAAGGAAACAGAGCAGATAAAATATTCAAGAGGAATTAGTTATTTTTATTATTCTTAAAGATTTTATTTATTTATTTGACAGAGAGAGACACAGCGAGAGAAGGAACACAAGCAGGGGGAGTGGGAGAAGGAGAAGCAGGCTTCCTGCTGAGCAGGGAACCCGATGTGGGGCTTGATCCCAGGACACTGCGATCATGATCTGAGCTGAAGGCAGACACTTAATGACTGAGCCACCCAGGAACCCCAAGTAATTAGTTATTTTTAAATCTAAGTTTAAGGGGTGCCTGGATGGCTCAGCCAGTGGAACATGTGACTTGATCTCAGGGTTGTAAGTTGGAGCCCCACGTTGGGTATATTTAAAAATAAAATCTTAGGGATGTCTGGGTGGCTCAGTTGGTTAAGCATCTGCCTTTGGCTCAGGTCATGATCCCAGAGCCCTCGGATTAAGTCCCACATTGGGCTCTTTGCTCAGCTGGGAGCCTGCTTCTCCCTCTGCCTGCCACTCCCCCTGCTTGTGCATGCGTCCTCTCTCTCTGACAAATAAAAAGAAATAAAAGAAATAAAATAAAATCTTTAAAAAAAAAGGCTAAGTTTAAATCCTGAACATATCAAATGAGTGAGAATATTCAGAAGAGAGAAACAACTGACCTGCTTGAGATGCTGGAGACCTTGCCCATTTCTTTATGCAGTTCAAATGAAACACATGATAACAGCTCTGACAACTCCACACTGGCGCTGTGACACGAACCAATTCACAGCACACCATGCACTCATATTTTTCTGTAGTTAGCTGTTCAATTAGAGAACCTGTTAAAAAAAAAAATTAATTCCAACAGTAAAACATTCCTTACTTTAGTCAGCCAAGGATCAGCAAGGCATTTAGGGGAAATCTCCAAACACAAAGGTTTTAAGTATGTCTGATTCTGAGTAAGGTGGCTGTTCAGTGTTTGGGGCGAAGAAGAACAGGAGTATGCTGAGGAAGAAGACTTAGGAAGTGGACATTCAGGTGGGGATTTGCACAATTGAGGAAACAGTCCCAGAAAACTGCCCAGGAATTGCCCAGAATAGCCAAATGCCCCTTATAACACAGCAAGTTGCTTCTGTTCCTCAGAAACAACAACTGTAGCACCTTGTACTACCTCCTATGAATCTGATCCAGATCCATGAAGTCAAGCTGGGAAAAAACTCACGAAACTGCAGTGGTCAATCGAAAAAACCTAAGCCTTGATAGGTTCCAACAACCCAGGGTGGTAACCTCTTTTCTAGTAGTTGCCATGAAAGTCTCATCTCAAAAAGAAAAAAAAAAAGTCTCATCTCTTCTAGTAGTTTCCATGGAAGTCTTCAGTTGATCTACTCAAAAAAGATGTTCTTGGTGTTTACCATAATGCCACGGTAGGGTTACTAGACTGAAGGAGACACAAACCCTCGTTCCAGAAGCCTAGCATCTGGTGAAGGAGATCAGCATCATTAGGAATCCTCCCAGGTGGATTCCTTATTACCTTCGCTGACTTCCAGATTTTTCCTCAAACATGATCTCAGCAAAGCCTTTTTAGATCCGAAGTAGAGTCAGGTACTATCAGATATATGTGTGTGTGTGTGTGTTAAAGAGAGAGAGAGACAGAGAGAGAGAGAGAATTTCTTCTGAGCAGGGAGCCTGACATGGGGCTCAATCCCAGGACCCCAAAATTATGACCCGAGCTAAAGGCAGACGCTTAATTTACTGAGCCACCCAGGCGCCTCTTTCAGTCTATACTTACAGCATTTATTTCATAATACTATTTTATTTGTTATTGGGTCCAAATAGGTTTTAAGAATAAACTAACTAACCTTAAATACATCATGCCAAGTGCTGTACTTATGCACTTTACATATATTTAATTTTCGTAACAAGGCTGTAATATAGGTACCATTTTATAGATGAAGAAACTGAGGCTCAAAGTAGTTCAATCACTTACCTAAGGTCACAAAGCTCACATTTTAATCATTTTAGAGTATTAGCTTTCGTAAGATTACTTTTTGTTTGTCTAATTTAATGGCAAAAGAAATACAAAACACAAGAACTATAAGGTCTGTGAGACAGGGTCTGCCTTGCTCACTGTTGTATTTCCAGTGCCTAGCCATTAGCAGGTGCTCAGTAAATATTTATTAAATGAATGGATGAAGAAATAAATGAGTATCAGCTCTCTCCCTTGAAAGTTTCAGGCTTCAGTAGTTTCTATCTATTTATTTATTTGACACAGAGAGAGAGAAGCAGCATGAGAAGGGGGAGTGGCAGAGGGAGGGGGAGAAGCAGGCTTCTGCTGAGCAGGGAGCCTGATGTGGGACTCGATCCTAAGACTCCAGGATCATGATGGGAGCCGAAGGCAGTCGCTTAACCAACTGAGCCACCCAGGCACCCCAGGCATCAGTAGTTTCTGAGATAGCTCTTTTGTTTGACAAAAGCCCGGAATAAAGATTTTGTGTGGTTGATAAAGAGAAATCTACTTGCTTCAGGTAAATGATAAACACATCAAAAAACTGAATTATATTGGGGCGCCTGGGTGGCTCTGTGGGTTAAAGCCTCTGCCTTTAACCTCTGGCTCAGCTCATGATCTCAGAGTCCTAGGATCGAGCCCTGAATCTGGCTCTCTGCTCAGCAGGGAGCCTGCTTCCTCCTCTCTCTCCACCTGCCTCTCTGCCTACTTGTGATCTCTGTCAAATAAATAAATAAAATCTTTAAAAAAGAAAAAAACTGAATTATATAAAAAAAAACTAAAGAACCAGACTTAGATTCTTTCTTAAAAGCAGGGACACTCTACCCTGCATTGGTTAACATCTCTGAATAACAAAGTTAATTACATTCCTACCATTTAGTATGCTACATATGAAAGATTCTGAAGGGGTAAGTAAGAGATAGCTCATTAAAGAGTAAGATTATGAGTGAATCATCTACATACAAGAGCCTGACTGTGCAGAGGAACAGTCTGTGAGAATTTGGAATAAATTTTGTAGAAAGTGCCTATTGACTATTCTAGGACAGAACTGAGAAGTGAAGGACACAAAAAAGTAAGTGAGGTTGGGAACATACATGAGAATCCTATGATTGACTGTTGTTTTGATTTTTGCCCTGAAGGTTGTCTTTTTATTTTATTGTTTCTCTTATTCATTAAGTTTATGGTTTGTTAATAAATAATTATTGTTTTATATGTGATGTTTCTAAATCTAGTCACAGTGAAACTGACCACTAGGATGCATATATATATAGCAAAGTGGGAACAAGTGCCAACTTTGAATAACCCACAAAGTTCTACTAAGCCCTCTCCAAAGGCTGTTTCTCTCACATCCCATTTTGAATCTGACAGTAAATCCTGCTAGCACTATCTTCAGAATTCATCCAGAATCCAACCCCTGCTGCTATTATTATGGCCCAAGCCACTATCTATTCACCTGGATTATTAAAATGGCCTCCTAAATAGTCTTCCTACTTCTGCCCTTGCCCTACTTCAGTCTATTCTCACCACAGCAGCCAGAGGGAGCCTGTTAAAATGCAAATTAGATAATGCCACTCAAGTCCAGAACTTGCCAATGGTTCTGACTTCACACGTCTGTAAAAGCCAAAGTCCTCACAATGGCCTTTATCACTTCCGGTCCCCACCTGCTATTTCTCTTTCCCTAAGTCACTACTCTAAGAACACAATGGCCTCCTTCCTGGTCCCAGACTAGCAGGCAGATTTCTGCGTGAGGGTCTTTATAACTTGTTGCTCCCTCTGCCCAATACACATACTCCCTAGACATTGGCATAGCTCAGTCCCTCACCATCTTCAGGTGTTTACTCAAAATGTGATCTTCTCAATGAGAAGACTGGCCTTGGCCATATTTTAAAAAATTTCAGCCCGCTCCCTCATCATTCCCCATCACTTTCCCATACTGTATTTTCCTCTACACCACTTGAATCTTATAGATCATTTATTTTCTCCACACCACTTATATAGCCTGTCTTTTATAGCATATATTTTACTTTTTTCATCTTATTTCCTAACTCTATACATCTATCTATACATAGAATGTACACTTTTTTTTTTTTTTTTTTTTTTAAGAATGTACATTCCTTGATGGCTGAGGTTTTTACCTACTGCTGGTTGGGACATAGTGGGTACTCAATGATACTTGTATGAATGAATGAAAAGAAATAAAAATATAGCAAAAGTTTCCAGAAGACCTAGGGAGAGAAACAATATAATCCTTTCACCAATAATACTTCAGTTTTATCAAAACATGTGTAACACATGTAAAATATGGTACTGTCCCAGAATAGCTCTGTCCTGGTAAACTATCACATTTCAGGCCCAAGACACTTGTCTGCTGGCTGCCAGCCCTTGCCTGACCACTGGCTTTTCTTCAATCTTAAATTCTCTTCGATTAGGGTTTCTCCATAATTACTCAGTCACAACAATGTCTACTCTATACTTCTATTTTTAAAGCATGTCAGTAAAGAGGGTGATGTGCCCACTGAAATAATCAGAAGAGAACGGAGTGAAGTGTTAACTGACTACAGACTTCTCAGATGTACCAATAAATAACTGTTAAAAAAAACCCAAAAGCAATTCTGCTTTGAAGAATCAAAGAGAACACTGTGATTAAGTAAAAAAAAAAAAGAAAGAAAGAAAGAAAGAGCCATTAAAAAAAAACAGATGTACACTAAAACTAATCTGATATTTGGAATTCAGTTTAAAATCAGCAAAAATAAAAAATAGATAAAAAATGGGAGACTGTGGGGTGCCTGGGTGGCTCAGTCGGTTGAGTGGCTACCTTCGGCTCATGTCAGGATCCCAAGGTCCTGGGATCAAGCCCCGCATTAGGCTCCCTGCTTAGCGGGAAGCCTGCTTCTCCTTCTCCCTCTGCCTGCCACTCTGCCTATTTGTGCTCTGCCTCTGTCAACTAAATAAATAAAATCTTTAAAAAAAAAAAAAAAAGAGATTGTTCAAATATTAATGCTTATCTATTTTTATTGCATATTATATGTTTAGAATAAAGTGTAAGGATTTCTTTTTTTTTTTAAGTGTAAGGATTTCTTAATGAGCAGAAAAATATATAACATAAGCAAAAAGATGAACACTGTTTATATTACATGATTTTAACAATGTAAAACTGAGCATTGGAAAATTCTATAAGAAAACAGAACAAAAGGTTAAAGCTGGTTATATCTGGATGGTGGGACTAAAGGTGAGTTACCTACTAAACTGACTTTATTAAGTTACTTCATTTAACGTGAGGCAGCTATTTTTAAAAAGCTAATACATGGGCTCTATGCTCAGTGCGAAATTTGCTTGAGATTCTTTCTCCCTCTGCCCCTCTTGCCCGTGTGCTCTCTCTCTCTCTCTAAAGTAAATAAATAAATCTTTTTTTTTTTTTTTTAAAGATTTTATCGATTTGAGAGACACAGCGAGAGAGAGGGAACACAAGTCGGGGGAGTGGGAGAGAGAAGCAGGCTTCCCATGGAGCAGGGAGCCTGATGTGGGGCTCAATCCCAGGATTCTGGGATCATGACCTGAGCCAAAGGCAGCTGCTTAAGGACTGAACCACCCAGGCACCCCAAGTAAAAAAATAAATCTTAAAAAAAAAAAAAGAAGCTAATACAATATAAACATGGTAAACATCTTCAAGATGGTTATGCTGAGAGACTCCTGGGTGGCTCAGTTGGTTAAGCATCTGCCTTCTGTTCAGGTCACGATCCTGGAGTCCTGGGATCAAGTCCTGCATCTGGCTCCTTGCTCACTAGGGAGCCTGCTTCTCCCTCTGCCTGCCTGTTCTCCCTGCTTGTTCGCTCT